ATAGAATGTATTTAACCATGGAGATTCCGCAGCTCATTTTGCTTTCGGTCTTTCGGTGGGTGCTGCTGGTGGAGGTGGAGGAAGAACTGCAACTGATCGTCCGGGGAACGAGAAAAAGAACGGAATTGGGAAATTCAGATACGTATTTCTCAAATACAGTGGAAAGTTAAGTATTATTATATCATTTTATTTGGGCAACAAACACACACGCACGTACACACACACACACGGGCACACGCACTGATGTCATCCGTGGCAAAAACAACATTTTGTTTATATTAACGAAGAAAAAATGCTGGCGTTCAGGTTTCGCTGAGTGTGGAAATTAGCACACGATCTCACGTACCGCCGGGGTATCGATTGTCGTTCGTTTCGTTGGGCTACAACTGACCCTGGAACTAAACTATAGGGAGGTGTAGGGGTCGTCTGATCCCTGCCGGCATCAGCGCACCAGCTCGGGCAGCAGCTTCTCCTTGGGCAGCAGACGCTGCTTCAGCTCATAGTAGCGCCGCCAGATGTAGGGGTGGCCGGCGGCCCACGACAGCCACGCCTCCTTCTCGGCGGTGGTCCGCTCCACCTTGCGCAGGTACTGGTAGTACTTGTCATTCCGCTTCACACTGGCGGCGGCGTCCTGGGCGAATCGGGCAAACCGCAGCTTGAGCAGGGTCTCGGAGACGTCCACCAGACGGTCGCCCTTGGGCGGATGCACCAGGCACAGCTGACAGACGACGTAATCATCCCGCCCGCTCTTCAGTGGCAGGAAGGTGGCCTCGCGCCCGACCAGACACTGCTGCAGCCAGGAGTAGCCGTTGGCGTCCACCCGCACGCCGGGCAGCTTCACGGGCAGCAGGCGCTTGCGGCTGGTGAAGAGCGGAATCAGCGGCCGGTGCTGGATCAGCAGCAGGGTGTCCTGGTCGCGCTGCTGGACGCCGGCAATGCGGCCCGTATGCATCACACGCTCGCTGATCAGCCGCTCCGGGATGTGCGAGGGCTGCTTGAACTGGCGCACCAGGTAGGCGGGCTTGCGCTTCGCGTAGGCCACAGCCAGCATCAGGGCCGAGGTGCCGTAGATGGCCAGCTCGCTGCCGACGGTGTCCCGCTCCAGGTAGTTACATAAGCCCTGGTACTTGGCCCACACATATTCCTTGGCAGCCTCCATTAAGTATCTGGCGCCTGCAAATTGTTCGTTTGTTAGCGGGATTTCGGTTTCGGGGCTGTTGTGCTGCCACTCAGCGCTCGGCAGTTGACGTCACTTTACCAAAACACACTCGTTATGTCGTTACGCTGGCCCAATCTATATGTACGCCGTGCTAAATGCCTAATTTTGTCGCCGATTCTGCTGTTTCTTGGCGACGTTTCTGTTTTGCTACTGAAGAGACAGACTTTGACATTTGCTCTGGCCGGTGGCGACGCCGCAAGTGCGAGCGGGACGACTAGTGTATCAAGTGTTTGCGATCTCACTGCACTTGGCTGGCCAACGCTTTGCAACACTGACTGCGTTACCTCTCTCACTCCCACTACCACACACACACATGCACATGCACACTCAATTCAAAAACAAAACTCACACACGCCTTTTTCCGCTTAGATTGTTTTCTGGGTGAGCTTTGCGCGCGCTAAAGTTTTTTTTGAACCGTTCGCGAGTGAATGTCAATGAAGACTGAAAACAGCGACCAGCCGAGAGATCGTCTAACCGCCTGTTGATTCGCACCCACACAGGCGCAGCGCGACGCTCACACGTACGCACCTTGATATTGGCGCGTAGCTTTTGTTTTGGTTACGCTTCGCCCACCCCCCCGCGACGCTTTAATTGCACTAACTTGTTTTCCGCTCTCCGTTACCAATCGCGCTTGTTTATTTATGCAAATGCGGTTTGCGGTCGCCATTTGTTGTTGGTTACCTGCTACGGCGATTACCGTTGCCATAGTCCCTCTGGAAAATCGTTAATATAAGGCCCCTGTAATCTAGGCCTAGTTACTAACCCCCCTCCATATTCGACTAGAATATATTTTTATCGTGAAAAATTGGATTTAATTGTTTCAGACCTTGTGTAATTATTTAAAAAGTGTTCCATTACAATTTGTGTAATTTATTTTTAAAACTACTTACACTTAAATAATATTTCTTATTATTATTACATTTATTAATAAGTGAATCATAAAACTTTTATCGATAAAAACAATAATGTATATTATATTTTACTAAAAAAATTAATACGTTTTCAAAAATAAACTTATTACACATACATATTTTGTATTATTTTTTAAAGGAATTTGAAAAAAATATATTTATACTTCTTTGATGATTTACGGAGGCGTATCGTTTTTTTGTACAGTTGTCCAGATCGACTCGTTTGTTGCCGATCGCTATTTACAAAAGACTGAAAAATATGAAAATCTGATAAATATCCGACACAGAAGTTCGACTGTACCGGTGAACCGCAAAACTTTCGGTTCGATTTCCACGGCAGCTGGCGAACGTGTTTTTTTTGCGGTTTTCTGGGTGTCGTAGGCGGACTTTTCACGAAAGTATAAGCCATGAACCAGCAACCAGTTTGTTTTGAAGCATTGGAAATTTCAGAGGGAACCCATTGCTATGGCTTCGGGCATGGCTTCCGTTTTTAATTACTTGCCCGGGACCGGGGGAGGCGAGGCGAGGCGCTCGAGCATTGTAATTGTCTGTAACTTTTCCTTGACACACTAGCCAGCCGCAATAATGGAGGCAGCATTAACAACAACGCCCCAAACTGGTTTCCAGCTTACGTAATCCAATTGGGTGAAAACGTGGCTTGGAATCATTATTTTTGGATTTCCAGAAAAGAGAACGAACGCCAGCCAGCTGTCTAGCAGCCGCTCCACTCGCACCCGCTGACATTGCTAATTAACAAGTGTGGCTCCGGGCAATTAACCTCACGTTGTTCCGTATGTAAATGTAGTTCCACAACAAGAGCACATAAAAAAATAAATTTATTAAAATTTGTCATACAAATATTCTGTATCTTTAGGCGAAATTATCGGCAGAACATGACCAAAGGTGAATAGAATATATAGAAATATTTCCATGGATTTATTTAGAATACAACTGGATACCACTGTCAATCGCTGTATCAAATAATTGTAAAATGTAAATAATTATTAAGTTAAATTTAAATATTCCTAAACATTCCCAATATGCTACTACTAAGATTAAAAGAATTTACATATACATATGTGTATGAGAATTTATGTTTCTATATTTTAATTGAAATAACAAAAAATTATTTAAAAATTAAACAATTTTCTCATATTTTTAATAAAGCCTTCCAATACGAGTCAGAGAGGTATACATACATACATAAAAATAGCTGCAATACAATATTAAAAATAAAAAAATATTGCAAAATAGGTACATATGTACGTCAATCAAATTAATAAGTTGATTAGGAAAAATAATATAATGAGTTCACGTATATTATATTATATTATTATAACTTTTTAGCGGAACACCCTAAATATTTATATTGAATTCATCCATTCAGATACAAACATATGAATATAGAATGTATCGTTTTCTTTAAAACTACATAAAAATTATTTTTAATTTTATTTCTATATGTATTCCCTATATGCATCTTAGAGTCATCATCAAATGGAATTTCTCTCTGTGCCGTGTTCACCAATTATCAACAATATAGGAACGATTGTGAATCATTTGCTTGCCATTTCTGGACTGTGCTTCCTCCACCCCAGCAACTCATAGCCTCTTGGAAAATGTCAAATTACCGCTAAGTAGTGAATGACTTAAGTGCGATTGTCCCATCGCTCAAGGGGAGGGCAATTATTGGCAAGGAAAAGTTCGCAGTTGGGATTCCGAGAACAGCATGATCAGGTTATCGTAGCGCTAACCTAACAAAAACAAAATATTACATGCCTGATGATCAGATTAGCATTCAGAATCGTTTCCGCAGCTGAACAAACAATGAGCAGCTTGGACGTGCACTCTATGCGATATTCCGGGTATAAACAAATTCCAGACTTTCAAATAAGCAGAGGCTTTGTAAAAAGTAGCATTCCCAAGCAAAAATGAGCAAAAAAGAATGAACAGTATATTCCTTGTATATTGAAATTTCTTTGAAATTAATGGATTGGATTTTATACAACATTTTTAAGCTTTATCGAAACCAAAGTAATCTTTATCATTTTTATCAGATGTTGCGGGTGGTGCCACTGTTATAATTTTCAATAGAAGTTTGCAGCGCCATAAATATTATTCTAGTTTATCATCACCAGACGAGTCAATCTAGCCATTTTCATCTATCTATGTACCTATTTAAGCCACCTTTAAGCGGTAAGTACCTATTATTCACGATACTAAAATATGGTTTTACATATCATCAAAATTTGATTATAATATGCTGCTTATAATATGAAAAAATCAGTATCGGTGTCTTTAGTATATGAAAAATCTAGCTTACATATGCAAGTCGTTGCTATCCCTAAAAAACAAGTGCTCAAATAATACTTTAACACATAAGAACTGCATTTTGGTTAAACCGTATACCCTTTGTCATCGCCTCTGTGTTCAGAGAACGGTCAGAAAAATCCGCTGACTGGTAAGTTGGATTTTTTTATGAACACTTCTGTACAAAATTTACTACATATTTCTTATCGGCACATTGTAGAAGGAATCCGAATTGGCTTGGGATTTAAATACCGCTGAGTGATAGAGTTACCCCTAGGGGATTCCGCAGTTCCCCTGACACTTTACATGTCACTGACTGTTAATTTTTAATTAACACTTATCTACAATTTTCCTGGAATTTTTTTTGCTACATATTTCTTATCAGCACATTGTAGAAGGAATCCAAATTGGCTTGGGATTTCGGGAGGAAGGGAATTTCGCAGTTCCCTGACACTCTACTCGATTCATTCCCCTGCCTTGAAACACTTTTAAAGCGAATTTCTATTAGTATCCCCAGAAAAATTCAAACAAAGAAATCCAAATAAACTCTCAGCTTTCGATTGGAAAATAGGGACGCCATAGTTGTGTGCTTTATTTCGTGTGACCGCCTCCAAGTGGGCAGCATAGTCAGTATAATTTCCATTTAAAATCGTAAGTATATCAGTGAGTGAGTTCCGTACTAAATCCTCAGCGGGGCTAAAACAAGCGTCGCGGATAGTGCAGCTGCTGACCAGGCGGCGGTTGAGCGGAGCCCGACACAGATCCTGGCGGGGCTCCCGGCAGCATCGCCAGCTGTTGCCGGGCCAACTGCTGTTCGTGGGCAGATCCACCTCGTCCCGGGGCATAGCCTTGCGTGATGCTGCCCGCCGCCTTGGCGTTCTGTTGAGGGAACTGACAGGACATTAGTCAAATGTTTAAAGAACCGTGGAGGATGAGGGATAACCCACCTGGCTGCTGCTTATCTGTAGAACGTTGGGATGCAGCGACAGCTCGCTGAGAAGAGGCTTGAAGATGACACCCTCCGACAGCAGATGTGGCGGCGGGGGCGGCAGATGGCTTGGGGGCGGGCCTTCAGGATGCTTCACCTCGATGTGGTAGCCCGGCAGCTTCTCCATGGTCACCTGCGGCTGATTAGCCTTCGCCGTGAGACTGCCGCCGGCCTGAACCACAAGATCCGCCTGCGAGATGGCCGGCTGATCGAGGTTAATGTGGAGCACCTGCATCGGCTGCGGTGGCGGAGCCTTGGCTGACTGCGAGTCCGGGGGCTTGCTGACGGTGGCGCTGGGCAGCTCCAAGTACGCTTGGCGCAAAGGCAGATTGTAGTTGTAGATGGACTGTAGGCGGGCCTCCGCCTGGTGTTGCGTCGTCGGCGGAGCGGCGGCCGTCTGGTAGAAGATCGTTCCCGTGCCCGGATACTGAGCAGTGGTCTCTGCAAAGAGGGAGAAGGAGAAAGCGTCGTTCATTAGAGACTCGAGGCTTCGTTAGTTTTTGGCGGAGGATCTCTCGGTCTTGGTATTGCGAGTGAGGTGCTTACTGTTCCATGATAATCTAGCATAGTCCGCGGCACGACGGTAGTCATCGTGTTCTGCGAATCGATCGTAAACAAATAACGAAATGAACATATAAGTTGTGTGCCTGTGTTGTTAGCGGTTAGTGTGCGCAGTCAGATGAGTTTCTCTTTGAGCGGGACGGACGGGGGGTTAGTTAGTTGGTGTGGTTAATCAACTACAGTGAAGGCTCCGCAGAGCAGTTGACCACCAGGATAGTTATGATTCCCAGTCGATATCCCCTAACTCGAACCAAAGCAGGCACTACCTACATCTTTTTTCAGATTTAAAACTATTTAAAATATATAAAATATTATAATTATGTGACAGCCTTTTAGCAGATAGATTATCGAAATAACTAACACAAATACTATTCTGATTTATAGTTAATTATCGAGACATTTGTAAAATGAATACATCCCGCATTCTTTTCACACTTATCTTTCGCAGAATTGAAGCTAATTAAATTACTTTTAGTTTAAAATGTGCTATCTAAGGGCTTCAAACTCTTGTTTCCTTAAAAATAGAGCTGTTTCTATAAGAATTTTTAATAGTTAGGAAATTTCCTGGGCTTATCTAAGATAAGCCAACCTTTGAATGACTGATAAGGATCACATGTGAAGCGAAAAAGTATATATACACTGCGCGTCACCAGATTAGCGCCCCCCTTGGTGCTCGCGTTTGAAGTAAAATATTATCAAAACTATTAAAGATTGAACTGTACAATTATTATCCAATATAATTCGATTAATTCTCTAAATAAAAACATATATTAGAACGCAGTTGGTATTTGCATAGAATTGTATTAAATTAAAAACTAAAGAAACACGTTTATTTGGAAGAAAAAACTGCGTCATCAGATTAGCGCCACCTACATTAACTTAACTTTTTTTGATAAAGTTCTTACAAAATACTATCTTTAACAATTTTATGATTAAGTTTAATCATTTTTAAGGAAATTTAATAATGGGTTGCCCCTCCCTTGTTTACAAGGACTTCACAAACTCGATTGGGGAGAGAGTCATACAAGTTTTTGAAATATTCCAACGTTATTGTTGACCAGGCCTGTTTTATACTGTGAATTAAATCCTCCTTGGTAGCATATTGCTTGGCAGCCTCGTACACCTTCCTAGCTAACCATCCCAAGACGTTTTCTATTATGTTCAGGTCTGGGGAGTATGGGGGGCCACTCCAGGACACTGACATTTTCCTTTTGATTCCATAGTTTTACGGACCGGGCTCTGTGGATTGGGGCTTAGTCGTGCTGAAAATGCTATTTCAGATTTCGAAATAAGTTTTTAAAAACGGGAAATGCTGTTTTTAGAACGCAATTGTAATTTTCCGCGTTCATCTTTGGGGTTAAAAACTGCAGTTCGCAGTTGCCATAATAGGATATGGCTCCCCATACCATTACTCCTCCAACCCGACTATGTAAGCGATCCAGATGATGCTCTTCCTTGCGTAAATAGTGGAAATAATAATTATATCCGTCAGGACCCTCTAGGTTAAATTTTTTTCGTCTGAAAATACGACGTTATGCCTCTCATTGGACCATGTCATATGCGTGTGAGCAAACTTTAGGCGAAATTCTGTTCGCACTTGGTTAAGGGGTGGTTTTTTTTTTAGTTTTAGCCTCTTTAAAGGGTCAGCTTTCTTGATCACCTTTAAAAAAGTCGATTTTATTGTCTTAACACAAGTTTTTTCTATTATTTTGACGGTCGAGTCGTGGAAGTTGCACGCCACTCGGAGTATAAAACTGCGATCTGCTGAACTAATAACACTGTTATTACCTCCTTTGTAATTTTTTCCATAGTTTTTCTTATTTTGAAGAAAATTTGCAATGGTTTTGCGATGTCTTCTCGTTTTTTCGACGATTTTGTGAAGAGAAAGTCCACATTCATTAAACGCTTCGATTTTCGATTTTTCCTCCGAAGATAAGATTGTTCCTCTGCCCATATTGTATGTCAAATTGAAGAAAAATGTTTAATTTAACAGCAAAAAAAAAAATAGTTGCTGTGCTCAGCAAGTTAAGAAAGATGTTTAAATTTATATTTTGGGGGCGCTAATCTGATGACGCAGTTTTTTCTTCCAAATAAACGTGTTTCTTTAGTTTTTAATTTAATACAATTCTATGCAAATACCAACTGCGTTCTAATATATGTTTTTATTTAGAGAATTAATCGAATTATATTGGATAATAATTGTACAGTTCAATCTTTAATAGTTTTGATAATATTTTACTTCAAACGCGAGCACCAAGGGGGGCGCTAATCTGGTGACGCGCAGTGTATGTATTCATTTATCTTTAAGCATAGGGATCTCTGGGTCGAATAAATTCGAAAAAAAAGGGTAATTTTTAATCATATCGATAGCCTAAAGTTATTTTTTCTCTTTTCCTCTCTATACATATATCCCCAACCACTACCAAAGTATCTTCTAGCTTTCGGAAAAACTGGATTCCAGTTGAAATTCTGATAATGGAAGCACTGCCATTCTGTTCGAGTCAGAGGAGTTTGACAAAAAGTTTGAATGCTTTGTTATGGGTGTTAAAGTCACTCTGCCTTTGGCAGCGTTCACTGTACAAGGACCAGTGGGCCAGTATAGCACATGAGCAGGGCCTGGGCTTACTCTGCTGGGCGTAGCTAGCAGCGCTCTTGTAATACGCCTGGTGCTGATTGGGTGGCGAGGGGCTCCTTCCCCGCTTGGCTGGTTGGGTGCCGGGAGGTGGCTGAAAGCAGATCAAGAATTAGCAGGAAGTCTTTTTCCGTGACCGTGGCATGGATCTCACTCACCTTTTGCAGCAACTGATGGTGCTGGAGGCGCAGGGGTGGCAGGAAGACCGGACCGCTGGCCACGCTGGCGGCTGCCTGCTGCATGGCAAACAGTTCGTTCTCCTTGGCCTGCTTTTTCCGCGTCTCGTCCTCGTTGAGCACCTTCTTCAGCTGCACGGTGAGCTGGTGCTTCTGACTGTGCAAATCGGCTAGCTGCTCGTCCAGGCGCGTGATCTCGCCGCGCGTGTCCTCCAGCGACTGGTTAGTCTGGCGTTCGACCTCCTCACGCTCCCTCCGTAGCCGCTGTTCCTCGCACTGCGCCTCGTACTCCTCCTGGCGCCTTTGGCGATCTGCCACGATGAAGCCCTTCAGAGCTCCGCGCAGCTTCTCCGCCCGCTCGGCCTTCGCCGCCTGGGCGGCCGCATTGCTATTGTTCACCGCTGACGCTGGCGGCATCTTTGTGCTCTGCTTACTTATCTTGCCAATTTTACAAGCCTTTCTGGACGCACCGGGCAAATCGCTAATTGTTCAACCGAACCCAACCGAAAGGCTCCAAAGTGGAATGGTGTGGCTCTGGCAGCGGCTGTGGGCTGTTCTGGAAATCGCCGGGTAGAGCAGTTGGCTGGCGGCGGTTTGGAGAATTCCTCGAATAGCCGTCTTCGCACTTTGTGGAACTGCTGTGTGGCGTGTTGCAGTTTGTTTTTCGTTAAATACAGCACGATTTCTGGAATAAACAATTTGTTGTGTGTGGGATGTGCCAACCGGCGTTGCCACATCGTCTGCACATGTCTGGTAAAACTAGCTATAAAATAGCTGTATTGATGATGATGATATTTAGTTATTTTTTATTAAATTAATTAAAATCTGAATAGAGGTTAATTGCATGAATAAATACTTATTGCTACTTAAAAAATACAAGAAGTTAAAATTTTCTGTGAAATAGTTTGGAATCCTAATGGTGGCACAAAATTATGCCGAAACAAAAGCATATTCGACCAGAATTCTAGCGGGGTTGTATTTTGCAAATTGAAATTTAAGCAAATTGCTGCATTTTACAGGTTGGGACAAGAATAACGGTTCCAACCACGCTAATGTAGCTAAATATTGCAACCGTTGTTTAGACAAATTACAACCATTTATGAAGCCATTTTAATGGTCACTCTATTGGCAACACTATTCCAAAAACATTGTGAAAATGTACTGTGATTAACTCGATATATCGCGTATGCTAAAACATCGATAGTTTTGCCAGCGGCATCGAAGATCTCCCATCTTTAGAAACAAATGAAAAGGAAAAGCCGTGAAATGTGTTCAGCTCTTGCGTTTATCAACAATTAGCCATACAGCAAGTGACGAGCGCCAAAAAAGTGATACAACGTGCCTACCACGCGAATAAAACTAAAATAAAACCGTAAATTGGTGAGAAGAGAGCAGAAGAAGCAGCACCAGCAGCGGCGGAATAATCAACAAAAGCGGCAAACATGGCGAGTGAGTAATAAATAACAGAAAAGGAAATTGAGAACCAAAACTACATAAAAGAATGGCCCGATGCAGGGCATTTCTTCGTTTTTATGAGCGCTCGTTTAAAGTACACTCACACGCCAGAGACTCTGCTTCCCTTTTTTGTTTGTTGCTCGCGGCGCGCAGTATAAACAAATGCAACTCATGCGTATCTTTGTGTGTGTGTCTATTTGTACCTGCCCGTGTGTATGTGTGCCTATGTGTATGTGCGGGTGCAGTCAGTGCAGCATTTATGAGCTGCGAAGATTCGGAAAATCGGTGCCAGGTGCTTGTAACTGGCGGCGGCGGCAGAATTCTGGGGGAAGGGGAGCTTCCCGGACGGCTGGCTGCTCCCCGGAGCCATGCGAGAAAAATCAATATTACGCGCTTTTTTCGGATTAGACGAATGCACTGCTTGGATGTGGGACTCCCAGTGCACTTACCACACTTATCGGACGGTCACTCTCCCAATCAGAAGTCGACTTTTATCCTTTAATGGCCCGGGCGCAAGCTCTTGCAATTCTGGCGGGAATTGAGTGTCCCTTTCGCTCACAACGCGCCACGGGCGACGGACGACGGGGAGCGGAGTGCGGTTGAGGCAGTGGCCACCACCTTTTAGCAGAAACCATCCACCCATGCCGCCCACTCCACCGCAGGGAGCATGAAGCAGCAGTGACGACGCATTAATAAATGAGAATATGCCTCCTGTGCGAGGTGCAAGGTTTACCGGCGTGTCTCAACACCCTGCCTCCGCTTCTGCCCTGCCCCAGACAGTCCTCTTGATTCCCCGGGGGTGGCATTACACTCAGGCACACGGAGAAACGACTAGAAGTCGGTGACTCGAATTCGAAATACCCCGAAGAACCAGGATTACCAGTCGGATTGAACTGGAACTAATCTTTGCCTAAAAAAAATGAGAATCTGAAGGATCTTAAAGTTGTATATCAATTTTCTGATTGGATTCTATATATAAATATAGAGATCTACAACTACAGTACAACTAAGAATATACTACAATTTGTATGAAACATTACTTGAGTATGCTTGTTAATATTCGAGCTGCATAATATTGTGATACCTAAGCAGTTTAAATTGATAATATCTGTATCTGATTACGGACGATACTTGCTTGTCATTAACATACAGGGTCGGGCGACAAGCGTCCACCTAGGAATCTGGCAACAAATGTGAATAAATCACTACAGAATGATTTGTTTTTATAGACTTTATTTATCAGTACTTCTCCCAGACGTTATGTGGGTTTTGTTTTTGTACTTCTAAAGACTCAACTCTTAAAGCCTTTGTTTTTGGAAGCTCACTTGTGACTAAGCTTGTCTATGCAGTCTGGCTGGCGCCCCTTACATAATGGTGAGAGCACACAGCCATCCTAGATTCACAACATTATCAATGCTAGGAGCATCGTATATATTTATTCAGTTTGTTTAATTATGGTAGTTGCCCATGAAAATGACTATATGAAAAGGTTTCTCTATGCTATCTACTCTTCGACTGTCACTTGGATGAATCAACACATAAACAAACTCCTCACAAAAGGTGGGTTGTTTATACATACCCTTTCTGGAGGGGGGAAACCGTGCAGAACGACAACAAACAACACTTGAACGTGCTAGAAATCCCGGACCGTAGAAACTTCCCTTTTTACAGGGGCGGCAGTGCATCCCAAAACCCATACCATTTTCATTTCCTCCACTCCCCCACGCAACCCAGCAGCTGTGCCCAACGTAGCGAGACCCACCAGACATACGGAGAAAAAACCACCAGATAAATTTGATATTGTGTTATGAGTTTAATATTTTTATTTAATATTTTTTTAAAGGAAAACACCACGCAAGAGTTACCTTTTTTACTTTCCGAAAATCCCTTTAAAGAAAAGATTTATGTGAAATTAGGAAACTTTTTTCCAAGTGCCGTTCCCAGCTGCGGGATGTTTGCCACGTCCTCCCCATGGCTCACTCACTTTGGATTTTAATTGGTCCTTTGTGTCTGCATTTTGTCGACGCGTTTGCTCGACGTCTTTGGCACAATTTGACTGCTGTCCTTGCGGCCGGGAGCTTCCATCAACCCCAAAGCGCTGATAAGGCTCGATATCAGTTGCCAACAGAGTCCGCTCCCCGCGGCAGGCACTGCTGCCTGGGCTTTATTGTTATTATTATTATTTTGGGCTTTTTTTCATTCGTTCCACGCAGCTTACCCAGATTAGCTGGCTGTTATTGTAGTTTACCCAGCAACGAATTTATTGCCTTTTTCCAGGGCCTTTTTCCGTATTCCTCTGGCGTTGCTTCATTTGCCTCATCTGGCTGTTCTGGCTGTTGTGTGCGACTTGTGATTTCCCCTTGCCGGCTCATTCTAGCTTTATTCTTTTTACTGCTAATAAGATTTTGGCCCTCCTAATGGCCTTGAGAATGAATGAATACGGGGTGGGTGCTGGGGAGCTGGGTGGTGCCAGCTAGGTTTTAATTGAGTTCGTGCCCTATTCAAATTGGCATAGAAATTAATTTCAATTAACTTTCGAGTCTTGTGTGTCCTCTTGACAAGTTTTTGAAGCATACTTCTTGGGGCTAGTCGAGGGCGGGTGGTTTTTGGGGGAATCCCCCCATTGCCAGTAAACTTTAATGCGCATCAATTGCTTGTCATACTATCCAAGTTTTGTGAGAGTACTAAATGATATATGTAGCTTGTACTACGTGAATTTGTAAATATTTGTATTAAAGTGTCTGTAAATTAAAGATTTATGTTTTATTTATTACAAATCTTGTAAAATGTAAATACTAGCACACATTTTGAATACATATATTTGTATATTAATCTACTAAAGATTTTAAAATAATATTAGGTATAAAGGCTGTAGGAGAACTTCCTTCTTGATCAGCATCACCAGCCGAGTCGATTTATCCATATCCTTCAGTCCTTCCGTACGATTTCAGAATGGGAGGTTTTTTGCACTCAATACTAGCTTTATATGGTATTTCGGATATGAAACCGGTGTTATTTATAGAGAAATGTTCAATTAAAGTTATATTTCCTGCCTACATTTTTGGATAGCATGTATATCTTATTTGGGGACACTCGACTGTAGCTTTCTACCTTTTTTTAATCCCTACGATGGAACTCTTCATTTTATTTCTTTAAGACTTTACCCATTACGTTTTTTTTTTGCTCAAATAAGCAGTTTTCTACTTATCAGTTGACTTTTCCCAATTATTCAGATTGGTTTCACATATAAAAATCGACAGGTTCAGGTAAATTTGTGTTTGTAGCTATCCGAAAAGTAAATACAAAGACCAGCAAAGAATTTAAGAACACATATTCCCACTGCATTCACTTCCCCGGCTTTGTCCCGAACAACAAATCATTCAAAATTCCAAGTTTGCAAACGAACAAAGAAAAACCAAAACTTTTTGATTACGCACGCTGCTGCCGGGAAGGAGGTTAAAGAGGATATCCACGGACGGGACACCATGGGAGTCCGACAGCGAAGGCGTCTGTGCATCGACCTTGTAGTGACCGACCTAAGCCTGGGCAGCTACGAGCAGGCTCTTCTGCGGATCAACGAGGCCCTAGCGAATAGTACAGACCATGGCGAGATCTTGGCCCTCCTGGAGCTGAAGAACATTATCGTGAGGCTGCGGCTGAAGAGCGATGCCCAGAAGACGATCGGTCCGACACGCCAGTCGGACGCCTTGCCCCACGTATTCACCTCCGATATGCTGGACGTGGTGCAGAAGGTACTGCGGTGCCGCAGCCATTACGAGGTGCTGCGTGTCTCGCACCACGCCACCTACTCGGAAGTGAAGCGGGCATATCACAAGCTGGCCCTGCGCCTGCATCCGGACAAGAACCAAGCTCCCGGGGCGGAGCAGGCATTCCGACGGATCAGCGAGGCAGCAGACTGCCTCACGGACTGCCAGAAGCGGATTGCGTATAACTTGGTCACATCAGTGGCCGATTGCCATGGTCAGCAACGGTCGGAGTACGAAGACTACCTCAGTGGAAGCGGTTGTGAGGAGGATGAAGAGGAGGACAAGCCAAAGACTGGTCATAGAAGGCCCTACCAGGCGGCCAACCAGCGGAAGCCCCAGTCCCAATCGCTGTATCAAACGGAACAACTAGTGATTGGAGTCGTTGCTGCGTTGGTATTCCTGTTCATCACCATGCACTACATAGCGGCTGCACCGGTCTACAGTTTCACGCCAACCAGGTGAGTTCTTGGCTGTTCCGGCTTCTGGGGTTACTGTAACCCGAATCTTCCCCAGAACCCACAGCTTGCACCGCGTCACTCAGGCAAGTCACATAGCCTACTATATCAGCCCAAAGAACCTGGCCAAATTCACAGAGCAGCAGCTAATCAAGCTGGAGCGAGAGATTGAGCAGGTCTACATATCGGATATAAAGCTGAAGTGCAAGCAGGAACGGAGTCTGCGTGAGTTTGAGTCGAGCTCGAGGAACTATCGGAGATCTATATCGGTTTCTCCTTCCAGGGGATACATTGCTACTAAGGGCGCGGCAGGCCAACAATCAAAAGCTATTGGAGCAAGCCATGCGAATGCCAATGCCCGCCTGCCAGATGGTGTACCAACTCGGAAAGACGGTGGAAGGCTCACAGCTCTTAGAGAATCGACCTTTGCAAGATCAGCAGCAGTCGACTACAAACTAATAATCCGAAATTTGCCGTCGGTATTTTCTGCTAAAAGTCGTTAATAATAAGATTATTGAATAATGTGGGAATAAATAGAAAGTAATTTACACTTAAAATGAAATCCATTTGTTTCTTATTTACATATTTTGATTTATAACGTTAAAATATTATCTAACCAAAGGCAATACAAAAATAAAATGCGTAACGCCATTGAATTTTGCGGGCTGGCTCTTGATCCAGGCTCTCTATTTTTTTTTTTAAGTTCAAGAAAGCTTTCAAGATTAAACCGCTCACAGGTATGGCCGTTACTCATCTTATTAATATATTGCCTTTGATTTTAGCATACCGTAACCTCGTATAAAAGTAATTAGGACTATTGGAGGGAGTTGCTTCAGATAGATAATCCCTAGAAATTCATAAAAACTTAACGCTTATGTTAATATATAAGTTATACAATGACATGCATATCACCCAGTTTGCTAAAATACATATCCATGGTTCCCATGGCTCCCATTTTTGGTACCAAGCTCTCTGGCGCTCTCTTAACCCAAATTTCCACAGTTTTTTTTTGGCTACCAGCAGGCCCAAAGAGTAACAATACAACTAAACCTGACTTCAACGACACAAATTGTGCATGAATAAAGCATGCAATGAACAACAACAAGTTTTGCACTAGTTTTTCCCATTTTTTTGTGCTCGCTTGCTATTTTTGTGTGTGGCCAAAGTCAGTGAATCGTTTAATGGAGAAAACCAAATACCACAACTGGCTGAAAATAAAACGCAGGCTGGAATCGGAGTCCCACACCCACAAAAAAAAAGAAGGAAAATACGAAAATAAAATAAAGCAATTGCCCCAGAAATTCATGCGAATAAATGCCACGAACGCCGCCCGCTTCCGCAACGAAAAGCTAACGAACTTGCCACGGAACTCGAACGGAATGGATGGATGGATGGATGGACGGTTGGATGGCATACTCTGAATACCAACGAGTACCAGTTACCAAAGCAAACATTGAAAGGCACGCAAAAGGCTGTGGCTGTGTGCCAGAAGCAACTGAGACGCATTAAAGGAGCTGAACTGCCTCCTGCCACCGGCCAGGCCTGACGGAAGTTCCGCTACCGCGCGCTGCCACTGCACCTGTCCGTCCTCTTGCATCCCTCGTCTACCTGTCACACCACGGGGTGACGTGGCTCTGCCACCTGTCCAATTGCATTCAGTGCGGCGGGACGAGCAAATGCAACAATTTCCCTATACCTCTATATGCAGATGCATCCCATGTGCATTCATACCTGTTATATATGAAAATGGCAAGGGTATATTGTAGTTTTTATTACATGGTTATATTCCGGTTTTATTCGAAGAAAGTATAGGGTAGATTTTAGCAGCTATCTCTTTGGAACATACTCTGCTCTCTTTTTTGTAGAACATTCTTACTTTATAGGTTACTTTACTTTAAGTTTGATCTGTCGTTATCCCTTTCCAATGCTTAAGATATTCCCAAAATTATACGTTTTATTTTGCCTGAGGTGTTCAATAGTCGAGACTGCTTTGTTTACACTGACTTTCTGCAGAATAGGGCTTACACTTGTAAGTGCAATGTGTCTGCGAGTTAGTTGCCATGTTTGTTATGGCTCCTGTGCAAGCTGCTTTTGCCATTGCATCCTTTGTTGCTGTTTCTATGCCAAATCGTGGACTCCACCGCTGGTGATGTGGAGGATGATGATGGTTGTAGGGGTCTTTTTGCGTTTTTGTTTCGCTTATTCATTATTTAAGCTCCACAAAGTTTGTTGAATTGCCCACCCCAGTCCACTCAATGTTGCTGCTGCTCCTGTTGCCACCAACTGTCGCCAGTTGTCGAGTGGCGGAGTCTGGCCTTTGCCCTTCGCCCTGCTCGAGTGTCTCATAGGTATGTGTGGATGTATTTCCCAGCATGTGTGCTCGGCGGCAAAAAGGGACTGACTGAAATAATAATATTGTGATAATGTTGGCCATAAAACGGGACTCTATGTCCCTGGCTAAAAAAATAAAATCAAATTCAAATTTAAGCCAAATGCCTGGGTATGTGTGCGGAAAGATAAATAATTTATTCAGAATTATATGCAAATACTGAGCTCTATCGTTTGACGATTTATTTTTAGATTCTATTAAAAGGAATTACGTTGAGAATTTTGTTAAGATAAAGTTAAGGCAACCACAAAAACAATTTGTATTTTATTTTGGATTTGAAAATTAACTTGTAACTATTGCATTAAATTAGAATTTTTTTTACTTGTAGTTTTAGGAAGAACTTTTCAAATAAGCACATAAATAAAGAAGTTTATTTAATTTGTTTTTAGGTTGGCTTAAAACCCTATTCTTTTAAATGAAATGTTTCTTTTAAAAGTTATTTGTGACAATCAAAAGAATCGAATCTTTTATACGAATTCTTTTCAAACTATAGTAAAAAGCCTCACAATGTTCGTATTTAAAACCTTTCCCACTTTATAAGTGTACGCAAAACTTCGGAATGTCCTTTATTTTTCCTCTCACCCGTGGCAAGGACTTATGCAAATGGCCTGCTCATCTTGGGTCCTGTTATAATCCAAGCCAGCTGTTGGCGAGGCAAATGGAACCTTTAATGGGACACACGCTTGACAAGTTATCTTAAGCATTTCTACAAAGTAGATTCTAATGGTTTAACTAGAAAGATTCGATCTTTAGATGCAAATGTGGCATGGTTTAATGTCACTTATGTACCTTCTTTTTACATTATATGAAAATATATTGAAAGTTTTTGGCTTGGCACGTTTCAGCCACCGTTTCGTTTTGGAACCATTTGTCTTTCTCCCATCCGGGCACCGACGATAATCGAAATTGGCAATCAATTTTGCGGTGCCCAACAAAGACCAGGGTGACATGGCAGGGTGACATTGCGTGCTCCCTGAAACGGAGCGGTTACGCTTAGGAAATATTAGAAAAATATCTTCTATATATTTCACATAAATCGAGGCAAAGTAATCTGTTAATTTTCGATAAAAACAGTAATTTATTTACTATTTTTAATGAAGAAACATTTGTTTACATCCCTGAGCTTTGGTAGGAATGTTTTTAGGTTCTGTAAATTATATAATTCTTTCTTTACAGATTAAAATATTAATTATTTTACAGTTGCTATAAGAAAAATCAAGCAGAGTTTGCTTCCAGAAGTAAGCTTTCAATCTCGGTTTACTTTCTTAATAAAAAATTTAAGTATATTTGTAAACCCGACAAACGCCAAAGAAAATATAGAAAATAAGATGCGTAACGGCAAGTGACTTTTTTATTCTCGTTTTTTGGGCTGGTATGAATGTTACGTATCTTACTCTTTATATTGGCATTGCAAAGTGTTTCCGGAATGCAAATGGCACTATTATTTAATTATTATTATTAATTTAATTTAAAATGTTAAAATCTGTAATATTCCTTAATTGAATCTCTATTCCGTCCAGCTGAAATCGACGAGCTAATTGAGAAACTGAAGACCACCAGCGTCAGTCCTGGAAATACGACAAACCTGCTCTGCGAGATCTCGGCCACCAAGGACCCAAAACTATTCGACAAGCACGAGCTGGCGGAATGTTTCCTGGGCCTCACCAAGTGCGACGACACAAATGTGCGCAAGGAGGCCGCCAAGTGCATTGCGGAGATCACAAAATCTGAGATTCAGCGCAAGAAGTTCACAACGCGTGACATAATTGCCGCCTTCCTCGAATGCTTGCGCCAGGTGCCAACACCGGAAGGCAGTATGGAGCTGCCCATCCAGATCTGCCGGGCCCTAGGGAATATATGCTACCTGAATGACGAGGCCAGGGATCTAATACTCGAGTTGGAGGGCGATGCTGTGCTGCTGCGACTGCTCGACATAGCCAGCATCGAGGACGTGGCCAATGCGGCGCAGTTCATCAAGGTGCGCGGTGGTCTGCTGTCCAACTATCTGCTCGGTGGCGAGGGCTTGGCCAAGCGGGCCATGGAGCTGGGCGTAATGAAGAAGCTGCAGGCCATCATCGATACGGGAGCTGCCAATGTGGAGCAGCACGAGGACCTGCTGCTCAACACTCTGCCCCTGCTCAGCATCCTAACCGAAAACGTGGCCGATCTGAACTTTGACTCGTCGCTGAATATCCAACTGTCGCGTATTCTGGCCGCCTCCACCAACCCAGATCTGGCCGAGATGTGCCTAGAACTGCTGCACTACCAGGCGGAGAGCGACGAGGTCAAGCTGCTGCTGGCCAAGGACGGTCTCTGCGAGACCATCTACAACCTGCTGGAGAAGTACAAAACTCTGGCTAGCACTAGCGAGGCCAGGGCACTGATGAAACTCGCCTGCGAACTGATCGTGCTGATTCTCACAGGCGGTGAGTTCTTTTTAAATATTTATATATTTAATTATTAATATAAATCTGTATTCCGTTTTAGATGAATCAATGCATTATCTATACACCACACCGCTGCTTAAGAACATGGTCGACTGGCTGGACTCGTCGGACATTGATCTACTGACCACCGGCGTGCTGGCATTGGGAAACTTTGCACGCACCGACAGCCACTGCATCTACTTTGTGGAGCAGCAGACCATGAACAAGCTGTTCGAGGTGCTGGCCAAGAACAATGGCGTCAAAGACGATGTGCGTCTGCAGCATGCGCTTCTCTCCGCGCTGCGCAACCTGGTCATACCCAAGCCGAACAAGAATGCGGTAATCCAGGCGGGCCTGGTACAGACTATCCTGCCCATGCTGGAAATCCACCAGCCGCCCGTCGTCTTCAAGCTGTTGGGCACGCTGCGGATGACGGTCGACGGCCAAGGTGAGTGGCGGGAGGAATCGAAAATAGCATGCAATCCGATCCAAAACATCTATGAACAACATCTGTTTTGCGTTTTGCAGAAAAACTTGCACTGGAGCTGCTGAAGAACAAGACCCTGATCGTGCAGCTGGTGCACTGGAGCAAATCGTCCGACTATGCGGGCGTCACCGGGGAGTCGCTGCGCCTCATGGCCTGGCTTATTAAGCACGCCTACCTGAGCAAAATAGCCTATGCCCTGCCGCGCAAGGGCGATGCCCCCGCCGAGCAGATTGCCGACAGGATTCCCCTCACCCAGGACTACGATCGCAGCAGCTTGAGTGAGTTCCTGGCCAACGAGGGCACCGTGGAGGCCATGGTCAGCATGCTCACCGCCCAGCATCTGGTGATGCAGAATGAGGCGCTGATTGCCCTGTGCATCCTGGCTGTGGTCTACCTGTCGCAGGCAGCGAGCGAGGCAGCTCAGGCCCAGCGTCTGCAGGAGGAGCTGATCAAGTGCGAGGTGGGAAAGAAGCTGGCCGAGCTCATTAGCAAGTCCTCGGACAGCATGACCAAGGAGATTGTGGAGAACCTGCAGAACTGCGTCAACCTCTTGAAGTCTTCCGAGCAGCTGTTGGCGCATCTGGAGGAACACAACATCAATGAGCTGTTGAAATCTATACCAATTCTCACCGAATATTGCACCTTGTAAGGGGCGTGAGGGGGGGGCGTGGTATTGCATTTATAACCCGCAGGATGCCTCACTGTAGGATGGATGATGGGTGGATTTAAGGAAAATGCTAGAAAGGAAAGCAGCTGTAGGAGTTCGCCTTCTCTTTCTTTCTTCCAATATTCTCTGGAGAAAATAGTATATTAGCATTTCCCAAAGGCTGTTTTAACCCAGCTACCCTTTGGTCAAAGACCTTACAATAGCAAGATGCATAACGGCGATGCATTTTCATATCTAAGCAATTTATTTCAAAGTATCGCATTTGAGCCTTTCGCTAGCACAAATCAAGCAAGTGAATGCTTAGGTATGTATGCTTACCAAAAGGCGGCTAGCTCGTTACTCATCTTGTTATTATAAGGACCTTTAGCCTAAGTTGTTCCATGAAATCAACCCACACGCACACTTAAAAATCGTAAAGGTTTGGAGTAAGGCAAGAGATTGTATTAGTATTCACCTTAGAGCAACGATTCAGATGTAGACTTGGCTGTAGTTTCCGGAAGAGAAAAACAGGAGCACTGGAGCGAACACGAGAGGAAGAGCGAAATGTATTTTTTAGACGCAAGCGTATTTTGACTGCATTTATGAGTCCGAATCCGATAGAGAACGGAGTCGTATAAATATTTAAAATATACATAACATACGTATAAAAATAACAATATTTGATAATTTAGCATATAAATCTTTTCTGTTACATGATTTTTAAGAGCACAATAACAACAAATCGAGGTGATATCGCTAAATATGTATATTTAATAAATGTATTTTATGTATTGTACTTATAATTTTTAATTGAACACACTTTTAACCCGTTGCCGACACACCCACACACCACAAATACACCAAAAAGGATAACGATAACGAATCATTTAAGCGCACAATGTAATTTAGGTATTTTAATTGGTGCACAGACACGTACACTCATATATATATTTATTGTACAACTTTGCAATGTTCTCCAATGCATTTTAAAGCAAACTTTTAAAACCTAACAAAAGGCAACTCGGTAACAATCAGCAATCAAAGAAATAGTTGAAACGCAGAAACAAACACGTAGGCATACAGTATGTTTCAAATTTTACCAATTATAACCAAATGTTTGGTCACAAAAACTATGAAGAGCACAAAAATCGAGATAAGCCATGCGAATATGGTATTTACATATATTAAAACGTTGAAATACACACATACACGTATGCGCACCAAAAGCATACATATTTATAAATTCTAAACTCAATAATGTACATTTAATAATTCAAATAAAATTTGAAATGCATGAGTAATAAGAGTAACTAAACCCAAAGGAGTTTTGAATTTTCATGAGCGCGCCAAGACGTAGTGCTTCGATATCGATAACACAAATGGTGTGCTAGAGATGGGCCCCAAAGACTGCTTCAAGGTATACGGGTTCGTGAAATCGATATATCGATAACAGTCTGTTTACAAATTAAATCAAAAGTGTTTTTTTTTTCAGTGAGAGATTTAACTAGTCAAAATTGTTGTAAAATTGAGTAATATCCAGCCCACAGTTACATCGTCACTGGTGCATGACATGCACATTTACCATCTCTAGCCAGGGCCGAAAAACACTTGCATTCCAATTTCTCTGCTGCGTTTTCACTTTCACAAAAACAAATCATCGACAAAGGTAAATAAACAATAACGCAGGTGGCGGAAACAGGTGTAGTACTCGAAGGCGTTGCGGTGTTCCCGCGGATCGTAAAATGGCCACCTGTGAGGCGGACTGCGACGCAGCACCTGTGCCCCTTAAAATTATGCCTAAGGACTATGTCTACTCGCTCCTGGAGGACCCGCAGCGCATCCTTTCCCCACCCACCGCGGTCGGGGAAACACTGGGCATCCGCGGCAGCTTCGAGTACTTTCACTACGGCTGCGATGGCCACCAGGACGCGGGCTGGGGCTGCGGTTACCGTACTCTGCAGTCTGCAATTTCATGGATTATACGTCGACGGGACAGCTCTTCGGTGTCAGTGAAGGACCAGCACGTGCCTTCGATCCGGGAGATTCAGCAGATCCTGGTCAACATTGGCGACAAGGGGGCCGGGTTCGAGGGCTCGCGGGATTGGATCGGCACCCTCGAGGAATTCTATGTAATCGATGTGCTCTACCAACTGCCCTGTCGAATTCTGCACGTCAAGGAACTCGGGTCTGCAGAGGCGCTGGCGCAGATTCGCAGCTACTTCGAGGAGTACCAGGGCTTCATTGCCGTGGGAGGTATCAGCGACACGGCCTCCAAGGCCATTATAGGCTATCATTGCAGTGCCGAGACTGGTCGGGTCTACCTGTTAATTGTGGTGAGTCAGCAGTGCAATTGATTCCAATTTGACGGTCCAGTAAACTCATAGCTTGTCTCCTCCATCCCATTTAGGATCCACATTTCGCGAGCGTGCCCAGCTGCCGGCAGCAGCTGATCGACGAAGGCTATGTCCGCTGGGTGCCCGTCGACGAATTCCCGGCCGGCACGTACAACCTGTGCCTCATACTGCAGCCGTAGATGCCACTGCCACTCTCCGTACTTAGTGTTTAGCAATAAAACTCGGCTATCGTTAGCTTTTGGTTCTATCCATGTTTCAGCCTCGTTTCTCTTTCTCCGTTCCAGCGGTCGCTGCCCAATGGACATTATCAATTGCTGACTCCTCCAATCGACTGATAACTGACTGCTACTACCGCGGCGATGGCGCTGATAAGCCCACGGCACTGAGCCAAATTCCTCGACAAAACAGTTTCTAGCAGCTGTTAAGCATAGTTAACTTTTGTAATAAATCACCAAACCGGAGCGAGCTAATGGAGCTCCTGCATCGCGCCCTGCTCAGCGCCCTCGGAGCGTTGTCGGTGTTCTACGCCCTCGTCAAAGTCAGCCTGGGCTACTGGAAGCGACGCGGGATCTTGCACGAGAAGCCCAAGTTCTTTTGGGGCAACATCAAAGGCGTGGCGAATGGCAAGCAGCACGTGCAGGAAGCTCTACAAGACATATACACTGCCTACAAGGGCAGAGGAGCACCCTTCGTGGGCTTCTACGCCTGGCTGAAGCCATTTGTGTTGGTGCTGGACCTGAAGCTGGTCCATCAAATTCTGTTCACCGATGCGGGCCACTTCACTTCACGCGGCCTATACAACAATGCCAGCGAAGAGCCTCTGTCAGGCAATCTCCTGCAACTGGATGGGCACAAATGGAGGACACTTCATGCCAAATGCGCCGAGGTCTTCACTCCCAGCAACGTGCAGAAGCTGCTCCCTACGCTGGCACAGATCTCTAAGAAAATTCAAAGCCATCTCGGCAAGGAGATCCTGCAGACCCGCAACATAAGCGATTTGGTGAATGTCTACAACAAAGATGTGATGGCTTCAATGGTCTTTGGCCTAGGACATGGCCAGGACAACCAGGAGTTCGCCAAGTGGACGCGCAGCTACTGGGGCGACTTTAAGCTGTGGCAGGCTTATCTGGCCCTGGAGTTTCCGCTGATCGCTCGGCTGCTGCAGTACAGGAGCTACGCGAGGCCGGCCACGGCATACTTTGAAAAACTAGTCTTGTCTCAGTTGCAGGAGCAGCGTCGCAGGGATCGTCAGCCGCTGCAAACGCTCCTCCAGCTGTACTCCAACGCAGACCAGCCACTCGGCGATGTCCAAATTGCGGCCCAGGCCTTTGGTAGCCTCTTGGCGGGTTTCGTTCCACTAAATGTGACTCTGGGCTTCTGCCTATACGAGTTGGCGCTTCAACCGGATATACAGGATCGCGCCAGAGCGGAGATCAGAAAAACACTGCAGCAGCACGGCGGACATTTGACGCCGGAAGGCCTAAGGGAGCTCACTTATACGAAGCAGGTCCTAAATGGTAAGAAAACACTTGGTTTTTAATGGTGAATTACAGAATGGGTAATGCAGTATAAAAGAGGATGAATCTTGGATCGGTTTCATTAGGGAATTCAGCCAAGCCTCTGTTTAAGTGTAGTATTTCAGCTTCCTATACCTCGGGATTTGGACTTACAAAAATCTTGGAAAAATACTTAATACTTTACCTCATAACTGATAATTTTTCAAAACACAGTCGAAATCTGATAGATTCTCAACTCAGTCCTTTACTTTGTTAAATTTTTGTCTTTACAACTGATCCTATTTTACATTTCAGAAACGCTTCGCCTGCACACACCACATCCCTTCCTGTTGCGTCGGGCCACCAAAGATTTCGAGCTGCCCAGATCGGTGTTCGTCATTGCCAGAGGGAACAATGTACTGATACCAACGGCGGCCATTCATCGGGATCCAGAGATCTACGAGAATCCCGAACGATTCGATCCGGATCGGTTTGCGGAGAGTGCCAAACAACCCCGACCACCGGCCGCCTTTCTGCCCTTTGGCGAGGGATTGCGCGGATGCATTGCTGCTCGGTTCGCGGAACAGCAGCTGTTGGTAGGTCTGGTGGCTTTGCTGCAGCACCACCGTTTCGCTCCCTGTGCCGAGACTGCGATTCCCATGGAGTACGACAAAAAGAGGCTGCTACTGATGCCCAAGACAGACATTCGGCTCAGCGTGGAGCTGGTGAAATAAGCTTTAGGGGGGGCCATCCCTCCTCATCTCGGTGGATGGGAGCACGTTTCTTTCGTATTGTTTGCTTCGGTATTGCTTTATTGTACAAAGTTCTGTTTATATTTGTATATGCACCTAATTCGTTGATTTCCTTAAGGGGGGGGTAAGGTTAATTCGGTGCAAAAAAGGCCACTTTTCAAAAAATTATTGTGGCGGAACGGCTAAAGTTAGCTTAATGAATTAAATACCATATAATAACACAACATTTGAATAATTTTTGATAAATTTTGTATTGAAAAATATTTAGAGGTAGAGAAGTTATAGGGAATCTCCAGAGTCGCCTCCAAAAAAAGTTGTTTTGCGGTGTACATCCTAACAGTCCACAGGATCATCCGATCTAAAAAAATTATACCTCATTCGTTAAAGGATAAGTGTCCCGAGGTATTCACGAAGCGTTTTTTTTTTTTAGTTTTTTTGTGATTTTTTATGAAATTTGAAAGTCAAAAACCCGATTTTTGACTAAAAAAAAAACGTTATTTCTTAATTTAAAAATATATAAAAATTAAAAATTAAAAAAAGGCCGACGTGAATACCTGAGGAATTAGTTAAAGAATGTGTGTGCCAAATTTCAAATCGATCGGTCCAGTAGTTTTTCTGTAATCGTGTACACCGATTTGAAAAATTGAATTTTTCAGGAGAGCGCTTTAAACTTTGTGATTCCCATGCATTGAACACCAACCGACCTTCGTTCAACTCCGCATAACTTCGTCAATTTTACTCTGATCGATGTAAAACTTGGACACAATATTCTTAAGATGTTGAACTTAAAAATAAAAAATAAAAAAAAATTTACGAAAAAAAAAATTAAATACCTTACCCCCCCCTTAAGCTGTGGACTTGTGTGATAATGCTGACGATGACCTTTATAATCTACTGCACCAACATCAACATTGTATACAAATAAATACCTTAATTGTTACCAGAAGATAAATATTTGTTTAAGGGGGTCTTCTCATTGGGCAACTTTTTTTTTCGATTTTTTTTTTTTTGCATTTATTTATAGCTTGGGATGGTGTGTATATGTCCCCAAAAGGATTTTTGGAAATTCGAAATACTTTAGAAGATATAGCCTTTTTTGTGAAGCAAGATCTATGCAAAATGAGCTTTTTTCAAACTTCAAACGCGTTTATCTCGAAACCACGTTTTTCGAACTGGCGGCCATGATATCTCCAGTTCAACTGAACCGATTTTCATGAAACAAAGTGGAATCGACGCAGAATTGTCACCATTTTCGGCTGACGGAACAGATTTTTTTTTAATTTTTTTTTCTATTTTTTTTTACACTAAACTACAAAAAAAACGCCCGAAATCGAATTTTTTTTTTTGAATGGCCGCCATTTTGTTTTAAAAATTTTAAAAAAAAATCTGTTCCGTCAGCCGAAAATGACATCTATTCTGATTATAACCCCGTTTTTATTTTTCATTTCGGACGCTCTGGAGACCCTGAATCGTGGCCGCCAGGACGACACCTTTTTTTTCGACCACCAAGTTTGAAGTCTCATTACTCTTTGAACAACCCTCGTATCGAGGCAAGAACAACTTTTTTAGTTACTTTGAACATTTTTGAATACAATAAATAAAAAAAGTTTTCAATTATTCTTTGCGTTTTCAAATAAGAATTTTTTTAAAAAGGGTCCAAAAAACGGCTTTTGAATGAGAAGACCCCCTTAATTGTTGAAAGTCCTTTTTATAAATTAAATTAAACATAATGAAAATAGTTAATTGGTTTTGTTTTAAATATTTAAAGTATTAAAACATAATATTATTCTCATTTTACAGAGAATTTAAAATTTATCTAATAAGATTCCAACAAAAATGTAAAATTTTTATTAAGTTTTAAATAAATTCAAAATAGCTTCAATCGTTTTTAGTTATATCGATATAAGTTAACGATATGGCCGAAATATCGTTTGTGACTTATCGATGCTCAACATATCGATAGCAAATAGATTTTCTTTTTGACAGCTCTAGTTGTGGTTTCGGTTGTTTTTTGTTTGGCTATAAGAAAATCGAGTCGTCGCGTCGCAACGAAGCAAACGGGAAAGGCGCTCGGAAAATCTGCAAAATTTGAGCAAAAATAACGGTTGAAACGCCGATTTCTAACTGTTGTCTGGCCGCAAAATAAAAGTGCGATAAGTGCGCGACTAAATTAGAATTGTCGAAATGCGAGCGGCGGCGAAAAGTGTCGAATTCGAAGCGGATAGCGAATAATTTTATGCAATTTTCCGGGGCAAACGGAAAATTAAGCGTCTGTCTGCCAGGCCAATGTGTGTGTGTGCTTGTGTGCCCGTGTCCGTGTCCGTGAGTGTAGAGCAAAAATAACAACAGCACGACGGCCAGGATCAACGGTGCCGCTCCAGGGTAGTTTGAGCTCGAACAAAGCCCAACATCAACACAGTCCGCGAAGGAGGAGGCGCAGGAACACAGAAAGGCGGAATAGCGCGAGAAGGGGCGAAAGGCAGACGGAAGAACGGGAGAACACACCCCACCATATACAAATACACACACTCTCGTACACCCGCTCCTTTGTGTGTGCGCTTTTGCCGCCTGGAATGCAATGCTACAACAACAACGAGAGGACGGGAAGCAGGGGAGGAAACGCTTAATTGTTTGCAGCATCATCGACGGCCGAAAAAATCAAACAAACGATTGCATTAAAGACGCCTCGCCCTGGGATATTTCATTCTTCCACGCTGAGCGGCAGATGCACGACTTTTAAGCGGCCGAAAGTGCATTGTAAGTATCCTTCGAGAGTGCTTGGGGTTTCTTTATATCTGCCCTTAGACAAAACAAAAGGAATCGAGTGCGAGGGAGGGGGTGGTGAGAGCTAATAATGAAAAATCATTAGGAAGTAAAATAATTGGGATGGAGAGAGGCCAGAGACAGAGCGTGAGCGAGAGAGGCAATGCAGTTCGCCAACAACAAGTTTGCACAGCTTCCAGGCGGAGAGATTCACGTTCAAGGACTTCCAGTGTCAGTTCCAGTCGGTCGTGAGAACCAAAAACTCCTTTCACGGCCACTCTGAAAGGGATTTCTTGTGCACAGTTAAAAAATATAGAACAAAATAAAAATATATAAAAAATCTAAAAATTACAATTTTTTAGAAATTGAACTGTTGAGAATATATTAGGTAAACCTATCTTTTTTCTATTTATTAATTTTTGAGTGTTGTTTTTTCTAATATTGAGAGAGTGCCTTTGAATGATAGTTAAAAAATATGAGAAATCCAAACCACCTAATTTTTTCCCAGTGTCCACTCCCCATTTGGAGTTGCGCGGTAATTGCGCAAGTGCAAGGACATCTCTGCTTTTCTGTATTGTTACCTGAATTGTTTTTATCTGAAAAGAGGTAATTTTTTAATTCGGCGCACCGGGGGTCATTATTTTGTGTGGGGTGGCTTCGTGTCTCCCGTTGAATTTTTGTAATCGCTACAGGAACCGGGGCGACACGTTGTCGCCCATTGTACCGCTCGTCATAGGAATAACTGTTTAGATTTTAAATTTCCCAGCTGCCTCCCTTATCGCTATTTCCTTCTGTGTTGTCTCTGCCTGCGCATACCTTTCAAACGACTTTTGTGCTCGCCGTCACATGTGGAGGAGATAAGCGTAATTAGGCCTGGATTTTGTTTACGTTTCGAGATTATTATTTCGCACATTTGTCTAAACAAATGATATATGGACGTATCAGAACTTTCCAACGGCGGCTCTAGTGGTGTCGGGTTCCCGCCATAATGCGATATGCCTGGAATGTCTAGCGGTGCACTCGGAAATTTGCCTAGACAATTGCATACATACATACATATTTACATATTTATGTACATAAGCCTGCTCGGATTCGAAAGTCCGCCTGTGATGCCTTGACCAGTGGCCGGCGGAGTGAAGGCCATCCGAGGCTCGTGGAGAAACCCGATCCCCAAACCATCCAACTGCCGCCGCACCTGTGCAATTGCCAAAAAGCAAAAGAACGCGAACTCTGCGAGAACAACAATAAGAAGCATAGGGGAATGGAGGGGGCAACGAAAGAAAGATAAAAATAACGGCAAACAGCTGTCGGGCATTGGAAAGAAACTTGCTCCTGCACAGAGAAAAATGGGATAACTTGGTCTTTAGACCATTACATTACAGACCACACAATCAGTTTATTTTCTTTTGAATTAAAAACAATATTTAAAGACTTCAGTAAACTTTGAAAGGTACATAAATTTGTAATTGAATAAAAGAAAATATATATAAATATTTTCAGTGTACCTACCACTTTACGCTGTATAAACAAAACCCTGCAGCTTTCGTCTTAATAAAATGCAAACAAAACTGCACAAAAGAAAAAACTCAAATACTGGCGAATAAAAATAATTTTATCTTTATGGAGAAAGACCGCACCACCTCCCCACATCCTTTGCGGCATAGAACAACCTAGTGGGCATAGGCCAGGCACTGATCTCTGCCAAACACGGAACGTGGCCAAAGCACAATTGCCATGGCGAAAACGAAAAAAAGAAAAGAAAACCGGGAAACAACGACACGAAAATAGCGAAAATGAAGCATTTACGTAAACTATTTAGTTTGCACATTTTCTTTAGCTCGGCTCCTCTATAATCTGCCCCCCTCGTTAATCGTTTTTGCGCCCAACCGTGTAATTTTAATTATAAAAGTACCATATGGTTTTCAGGTTTCAGAGATTAAAACTCTTACAATTAGTTCGTTTTTTAAATTCTCAGTCCATAAAATCTTGTGATTTTTACTTGATTGAGGATTTACTTAAAAATGACATGCAAACTGTTAAAACTTAGCAATTAAATCTAAAATTAACCTTTTCATAAAACAGTTCATGATCTTGAAACTAATAATATTGATGAAAGTTTCTTAGTTCTGGTCTATATATAATATCCAGCGTACTTTGGCTTTAAACCAACTGTTCTCAAATGAAATCCAAGCAGAAAACTGCAGGCAATTTTAAAGACTTTCCGGCGACGAACGGCTTGAATGACTAAAACTTGTAGGTGCTTTTAGAGTCTACTGCTGCCGCCCACTCACAAAAAGTTTTTTGTTTTCATTTGATTTGTGAGCTGCATGGGTGTAGCTAGCTTGTTGTATGAATGAATCCACAAAAAGGCGTGATTCCGTTTTGCAGCCACTGAGAGGCCCCAAGTTCCACTCACCACGCCTGGTTTTCTGGCATCTTTGGCAACCACTTTCGATTTTCTTGACTTGTCCTAATGAAAATCGTGTATAATCCCAACCCAAGTGTCGCCTCTGGGGCTTTTCATTTGGGCCGGGTTGCGTGCCGAATATCCAGCTGCGTGAACAGAATGGGAGGGCTCATTAAAAAGTCGAGAAAATGTCAGGAGTTCAGGCCACTCTAATGGATTTCCTTTTACTCTCGCTTCTTTTCCGTGGACTCTGGCATATGAGCATTAATTATGACGGGGTTGGCAAATTAGCAAAACCAAGATGGTAGTGGAATGCCTGGTCCGACCACTACTTTTTTTTTACCAGCAAAACAAAAGCTGGGCGAAGCTCTTTACGCTAACGAGACACGGGAGAAGGCAAGAGAAAATGGACAAACAACAAAAAGAGCAGTGAAAATTCACATTTCCTGATGGCCACAAAGTAGAGAAGTCGTCGAGAAGAGGCAGAACCAAACGTGCTTATGGAACCGGCAAACAAGAACATAACAAACATGACAAAGTACGGGAGTAACATGTGCCGGCTAACGGCACTTTTGTTTATCATTAATAACCATTTTGCCATGGCCGCAACCTCAAAACGTATGAGAGGAAAAATACAAAAAAGCGGGCGCTCTTATGTTAATAATAACAAATGTTAAGAGGCACCTGGGATTCTTCCTCCTAAAAAATCAGTGTATGCAAATTTAGACACTTTAGGATTGGCATGTAAAATATTTTCATACTCCAATGAGTAATTTCCAATCCCATGGTAATTGCATCTAATTGCCAGGGAGCAGGCGTATAATAAAATTTTAATGTAAATTTTTTAAACACTTATAATTTGAATTTTTAAAACACAAGTTAGCAATAAATTTACAAATTCGTTTAATCGAATAAATGGGGAAAATCCAATCATATAATTAAGGGTATTTAACTTTATTTAAGTATGATACATTTACATTTTGACTCCCTGTCAAGAAAACGACTCTTTTGAAAGGTTTTAGTCTGATATTGTTAATGATTCCTGAGGATCTTAGCCATTTAAAGAAACATTTTAATATTTAAATAAGAAATCTAAAGAATATAGAACAGCAAATGTTTCGGCACTGTGAAGAATGTACTCTGAAATTCCATCTAGATGTACTCCATCCCCTTTGGCCGTGTTTTGGACATTGTATCTCAATTTTATTTTCGTTTTGGCTGCCTTCCCATGTGTAAACGTATAATTTTATGCACAAATCGATTTATCGCCGCTAAATGCCGTCAGTTTATTTCCAGCGGCAACCCGAAATGAACACTCGAGTTTGTGTTTACAGATTTGTGGGTGTTCTTATTGCGAAATGCGCTCTGTGCTCTCTTTATACCTATTTTTTACGGTGACTCCTGTTGCCCAAAAGCTTCCGATCGATAATTATCGATTGCCGCAAATGCGGCCAAAAACAAATGGGTGTTTACAGCTCTTGGCTGGCACTTCTGCTGCTGTTGATTAGATAACGCAACTTATCAATCAGTATGTCCCAACATGGGATGCCTATCAGCTCCAATTATCGGTGATATGGCCTATTTTACAATGTGTAGATTGTGCCGCGAATTATTCAATTAAGGCAAAATCAAAGCAACCACAAAATTGGAATAAGGAGAGATTTCCCAACACTACCCAGCCAGCGTAAACACTGAGTGTTTTCTGTTTTCGCTATATTTTATTCATAGAAAATTTGGGTTAATGACGTGCCATACGCGTCGGCGGGCGGCAGGGGGAGAGAGCTAAAGCAGATGCCCCCACAAATCCCAGAAACATCAAATAGAAAATGCTAGGCAAGGCACAGATGACGCTAAAGATAGAAAACCATTGATAAACATAAATGTTAGGGCATGTGTGTGTATGCTGGTGACGTTGTCGATTCCGCTCATATAAAAACTTGATCTTTAGATTATCGTCGTTTTATGAGTTCTTTTCGCTTTTCTTTTCATCGAGTAACCACTCGACACATTTGATGATAGACGCTTTCCCAACTCCGGATCAGAGAGGCAAGACCCGGACCCCAGACTCAAGACCCCAAGTCCAAGATCAGACCAAGGGCCGAGGCATCTCGACACTTGGCTGACCACAGATGTTCATAGTGGTGGATACTCGTAGTTGTCGGTGAAAGTGTAAAGTCATGGCGTCTGCTGCCGATGCACAATTCGCCAGCAATAACGTATCGTTTACCTTACAGCCGGCCACATAAATCTGCTAAAAACCCAACCTGACATTGGAGCTCTTATCCCTCTCTCTCTCTCTATTTTTACAATTGTTCAAATCCCTCGCCCAATGCAGCTGTAAAATTATTTGTTTAACCGAATCCCACCTAGAACTGATGGGACAAAACAAAGCCGAAGAAAAACAGAACACTAAATACATAGACGTCGGAGTGGATAAGAAAGTTTCCAGCAGTGCATTAAAGTGGTGGGCTGGAAAATGGAACTTTCAAGTTTATTTTCGTGCTTTGGTAACCAATTCGAGTGATTTAAATTTTTACCATACGGGTGGTGTCTGTGGTGTCCAAAGCCCTGACTAGGTAAATTCGGCAAATTTCTTTGCCCAGCCTCTGCTAGCACACACAAAGAATGTTAATAATGCATCAAAATGGTGCAAGTGCAATTTAGCCCCAAAATATAGCTTAATCATAAATATTTTAAAAGAAATAATACACCAAATGTAGGCTATTTGTGTTTCAAATCTGGACACTGTTAAATTTCTTATAAAAAAACAAAAGCAATTGCAAATGGCTGACGACCACTGCTTTATTTCAATTCAGATTTTCTTCTACCAAGCATTAGTTTTAAATGGAAAAATAACCACATTGCTCACATATTATCAGGAAGTATTTTTTTTTATCAGAATGAGGGCTTGCGAGAAATGTATTTAAGTCGCAGTTAGTCATAAAAATCCCCCAAGTTCCAACTTAGTCCTCAAAGATATTGCTCCGACACGTTGTTGGTCCACCCTAGCATTCTCATCTGCATTTACGCATAATTACACAATGAATAAGGGGAGATGTAGCGGATGGGATGCGGATGGCGGTGCGTGTGCTCACATCTTTTGGTAAGCAATTAACGGCAACAACTCTGTCTGTCGCCCTTGACAAAAGTGTCTGCGGCACTTGCCCCGCTCCTCCTTTCTGCCAGTCAAGTCACTTCCTGTAATAGAAGTCCAGGCAGCATGCAACACAACATAAGAGATGTCTACGCAGATACAGTTGGGGTCAGCCAAATAAAACAATTGCCTTAAATTGTTTACAAGGAAAGATATTGTACATAGCTTTTTTCATTAATCTTTTGTTGATTAAAAATTAAGAGTTTGAGTTTCTAATTCGTATAGGTATAGATATTTATATCGTGTTTCAAATTGAAACTTTCAATACATTCATTGCAATATCTAGATCTAGTTGCCTATTCACCTACATAAAAATTGAATATAATTACTTTTCCACTCTTATATTCCTCATAATATTACTCTGCCTTTTTGAATCAATCTTTTTAACCAGTAAACCTTATAAGAATAGGTTTTCCCCTATTATTACGAATCCTTTTATAAAGCGCTTGGTAACTCCAATCTCGTGCGTCAAAGCTTCCGTTTGCACCAACTGAAATCGGAGAGAAACCGCAGAGCTAAAGCCGCAGAGAGAACCGCCGTAAATAGGGCGGAAAATTATGCGTAGTGGAAATTAAAACGCATTCAGCATAAACATCAGACGGAACAACAACCGGAGCAACAGCAGCCACATCATCATCGCCAACTTGACATTTGTACGAATTTTGATGCGGGTTGCCTTAGGAGTCGCAGATCCCTGGTTCCCACTGTGTCTGATGGTTCCCTTTTTCTTTCCCACCTCTTCTTTTTTTACCGGTGGTGGTAAGAGGTTTGTGCTCTTCTTTTCGGGCAACTTTGCGAAATTGTTGTTTTCCTGCTTTTGTTTTTAATGCACGATTTGGTAATTTGGGCATTTGGCTACTGCCGAAGTTGCTCCCCCGATCGCATCACGATCCCATCACAGGCCTGACCCCAAGTCGGGTTTAGTGGCCCAAGCTTAGCATTTCCCAAGACAGCGTCGCGGACTTATCTTTATGCTGAGAAAAACTCTTATTTCCGCTGCCGCGGCTGGGAGATGATATGCAAGCTTAGCGCACATACACACATTACCGGCCCAACCAGTTGTAGGCCTTATGATTTAAATGCAGCCAGTTAACTGGGTCAATGTTTCGACGGCGCTGTGTGTGAGTGTGTTTCTGTGTATATATATCTAAAACCAGATTTAACGCAGTCAATTGCCAAAAACGACGAAAACTTATTTCCGCACTGCAAAGGAAATTGCAACTCTGCAGCACAGCCAACAACAGCCACAACATCAGCAACTACATAAAGCGGGCCTGTCATCGTTTGCTCTGTGGCCACAATTTTATCTCGAGAGGTCATTTACACTATTCAGCTGCGAAGAGTAGAGTGAACAAAGAGCGAGCGGGGCAGCTGCAAGTCTACTCGAACTTCCACGCTGTGAGTGTGAATGCCAGTCTGAGTGTGCGTCGGTCTTTTCGCCGCGGTTGTGCTCACTTCTCGGTACCCTATAGCCTCTATACAGGGTCTTGGATAGATTCTTGATTTAACGAGTTTGTTATAAAAGTTTCAGGACTTAATATGCTAATTTTAATGATTAAATGTAATGCTAGAAATTGACAATTTCAAATATTCGTAAAAAGCAAAATAATTTTTAAAATACTTTTAACATATTTATTTAAAATATTTATTTTATTTAAAAAATATTTTTAGCCAAAGCCCCCATGTACAGTACAGTATAGCTTGCAATGTCTCAGTCGCCTTAACGCTTTTTATTTCATTTTTCCCCGACTTGTTCTCTGATGCCTCCCCCCCCGACAGTCATAGACAAAAGATACGAAGTCTAGGCAATCAGTTCTCGTTGCTGCGGCTGTTTATCACTTGTGGGTTTCGTCTTCCTCCACGCTTGAGTGTCCATTGTGAACGCTTTCTGAATGCATCGGATCGGTGCTACACAGACGTACACTTGTAGCCGAGAACTTCACTCGGAGTTGCCGTCAATGCCACAATCAGCCCGAAAATGTATGGAGGCCGAGAGAGATGGTGGCTTCAAGTGCAGACTTGAGACTCGAGCCGGGCTTAGGCCAGTTTCTGGTCGAAGGTTATTGTGCTCGAGTCGCCATCATATATGTACAAATGTGAATTTGACGCCTCTCGGGCCCTAATTGCTCCCAAGGCTTGCTTCCAGCAGCGGAGTCGCGTTACTTTTCTCGGTTTATCTGCACTTTCGAAACGAGCCACGGAAACTTGCCTAGAAGTAGTTGTCACGTATGTGGCGGACCTACAAATGGGTCAAAACTATTGCACTTCCCCGACGACGGCGACGACGACGACGAAAGTCGTTTGCATGGGCCTCAGGTCCGGAGTTTCAATTGCAATACCCGTAAATTGTGATTGCAACATCCTGTACGCTACCGCAAGACATATCAATTATCAATTAATAATTAACAATTAGCCCCGCTACATGAGCAATAAATCAGAAGACTCATATCAGCAGGAGCCCAACTCAGGCACTCTCAATTTGGGTCAACGATCCCCAAATAAAGTTTGATGTTGCGCCTACGCCAACGGGGAACTGCCCCGAGTTTATGCCTCTCTTTTTCGTTTATTAATATGCCTAATTAAGCATAATTTCTTGTTTGGAAAGACGCGCTAGTTTACATGTTTGATTATTTATGAGAAGTCGCCTGGGCCCGCCCCATCAGGGAGAAATTTCGAAGATTTATGGGGGGATGTGAGCTACAAACTCCCATCGGAAGTGCTTGTGGATTATTTGAACATGGTTATTTATAACAAATATTTTATTCTTGTGTTTCCCTCTTTCCAGATCACTCAACGCACCGCAAGAACGATTTGAATTGACTTGGTTTTTCCCATCATAATGAAACTAAAGTAGAAATCACGTTGATAGAGTCACACCGAGCAATTTTGCGACTAACGAAACCCAATCGATATCATAACTGAACCAGTAAACAATAAGGAAACATGGATCTAAGTCTGGAACGCGATAGCTCCGCGCTCGGTAGTCTGTTCCAACAGATTATCAATGACATGAAGGTGAGTTTTCCTCCAATTATTGTTCTGCAGTTTCTCCGGAAATTCAAAGTAATTTTAGACACGAACTCTTCCACTGAAAGTTCCGTTTTCGATTCCTGGAACTTTACAGCATTTTGGGGGAAAAGTCTACATGTGCATGTAGCCACCTTATTCACTTGGAGCCCACTCAAGTAACATAAAATAAAAATGAAATGATACGCTTTTACTGTACCTTGCTCCAACAATAAGAAGCGACTCATTGTCTGAGTTGTTTGCCAGTGTGTCAAGAACTCTCAGCATTTGGTCTGAAATTCTCTTCTGTGTAAATAAAACCTCCGAGCAAAAGGCAAATAAATATAAACAAATAATCTGAACCAAGGTCGGGGCAAACACATACACAAGCCCAGACATAGCAATTAAATTCTGATATACAGCAAATAAATTAATGCAAGAGAAATGTTTCGGATACAGCAAAAGCCCAATGGGGAATTGGGTTTGTTTGTGTTTTAATGCTCAAATTGTTTTGTTTTTATTTAACTTCTAATTGCTATAATGGCAAAAAAATAGAATTGCGAAATCAAACTAGAGTCGAACAAAAAGTTCTACACATTTTTTCGCATGTACATATGTATGTATCTTTGAACCAAAAGCTTGGAGAGAAACACGAAACACTGCTCCTTGAACATTTTGTGGGCTTTTTTTAACCATTAATTGATTTCATTACTATCTGTCCAATGTGTGCTATCAATAATTTATGGCTCTCATGACGCCATTCGGAGCAGCTTACTTCCATACATAATGGTTTATTGCTCTTATATAACACCGAGGCTGGCAATTTAATTTAACAAGCGTAAATTAACGCCGGGTGCGGCGCTTACTGGGAGTGGGAGCCATCTATATCCCCGGCTAAGCCTCAAAGGTGCTGGCTCCTGGGATATGGGGGCCCTTGGACGAACTACTGACAGCTGCCCATGATTTGTGACTTAGTAGCACTAATTTAAAGCAAGTAATACATTAGCTTACCTCTCAATTCAAAGCCACTCCATTTTGCTCCCCCTCGTTCTCCCTAGTCCCCCGATTTCTTCTGTCTTACATTCTATTTCCATCATCGACAGATGTAAAATCAACTTTAACATTTGATATTCTTCTTTTGAAGGGTATATTGGCTTTATGTAGCAACATGTTTTCTTCGATGCACGACAATTGGGTTTTGTTTTCGTATTTGATTTCTGTTGTATAACATTGGTGTAATGTATAATGGGGCAGGACTAAGCAAAAGGCAATATAACAATAAGATGCGTAACGCCCATATTGCTCAAAATATTCGGGAGTAAAGAAATGGTAGTGCTTTCTCATCTTATTATTATGTTAAGTTGGATTAATTATAATATAATCATTTGTAAAATAAATGAAATTGTATTATATTTATTTTATTTAATATTTGTACTTTTAAACACCATTGCACAATATAGATTTCTTTGCTTTAATGTCAGTGTATCAGCAGTGCGACCTTGCTTCCTTCCCTTGGGTTTGCTTCATTTGCTATGCTGAGGCGCATTCGGGAAGAAAATTACATTTTCAGCACATTGTAGCCGCGCGTGGTTGTGATTGTGTGATGCCCTCAGCTGCTCGCATGGACGGACTGGTACATGGGCAGGTGTTGGAATTTGCTGCGTCTTGGCTCTGGGCATTATACCGTCATAAACTAGGAGGTGAAGATGAAAGGCACCGCCGCCTTCCCGCCCGCTGATCGCTTATGTTAGGAGAGAATACCGACCCTCGACTCCCCCGGGGAGTGTGAACTCACCTTCGAAGCCAGCCGACTGCCGACTGTCAGATGCGGGCGAGTGCATTTTGTATTTATGAAATTTGGAAATTGCTCGGCACGCAATTGTGCAGAAGCTGTTGCTCTTTTTCCAACCTGAGTGTGAACTAGAGCAGAAATATGTACACACTCATACTGCTGTACGAGCGGAGCATGTGCAATATGAATGACTGTGTGCGCTCGGATCACCTTACCAGGTAATTCTCGCCGCCTCGCTTTGCTCTGCTTCTGGCCTCATTCATGGCGAAAGATAGTTGCCGTTGCTTTTTGTGGGCAGAACTGCCTGGCCAACTTTTGCGGAGTCGGCAAATGCCAATGCAAATGTCACCGAGTCCCGGGAGATGCAAATGAGCCGCCGGAGAGAGCGGGGCCTTAAAGGTTAACCCTAGAGGCACTACAGCCAGCACTAAAATTAGTTTCAATTTAATTGCTTGGCTGGCTCTCCGTCTGGCTACCATTCTTCTTTTTTGGCAGCAGACCAGAACAAATTTATGCCCGTGCCGGGCCAGAAGCAGAAACTTCTTAGAGACTGCCGCAACTTCAGTAAGCGTAAAGTGGAAGCAGAACAAGGAGTTTAGATTAATTTCTCATTTTATTTCTGAATACTTGTATGTTTTACCTAACGGAGTCTCTGTGCTGGCAATTAAATGCGGGTAATTCTCGATTGGGGTTTTATTTTTTCGGTCGGCCCAAAGTTGATCCACGCAACTGAGACTCAAGCGGGCCGAAAACGAAACGAAAAATTAAGCAAACTTAAAGGTTGTTAGCTTTACCCAACTGCTGCTTCGCTCCGCTGACTGCACTTTGCTTTGGCCAAGTGTGGCAAGTGTGCGAGATGGAGATACGAGCGCCACAAATTGTCACATTTGACAATGGCAAATCTCGGGTAACAGAAAGCGGCCGGAAAACGCACTGCAGCTGGTTATGACTTTTCAGCAAAAGTGAAAATTTTTCTGCTCCCTGAACCCAGCTGAACCGAACCAAGCTGCGCCATCACTTTTGCGGCTTCCTTGTAGCGTTTGACGCGGCTTTAATTTGCCCGTCCAAGTCATCAAACCACTTTGATGTTGTTAGGTTGAAAACAATTTCATTTTATAAGTATTTTTTAATATGTGTTGTAAAATGAGTGCTTTATATTCTAGAGTTATTTCGTTTTAAGCTTAAGTGAAAATTTTAGGCAAGACGTATATTAAAAAATGGGTTTATTAACTTAATATTAAAACTGAAAAATATATTAACAAAGAAATAAAAGTTACTTGAAAGTAGCGACCAGGTAAAACCTTGACTATTTTGAGTTGAGCATTAATGTGAGCCAAAAATATAACAAAGTGGTTAAATATGCGAAATAACAAACATTTCTTGGAATATTTGTAACATTATTGGTAATACTTATAGAAAAGACTAGAAAGACTTTAGTTATAATGTCATTATGAATTATCATTAAAGCATATAATTGATTTTAACATTCGTTCTCTGAGTTCTGTTCTAATTGACGGCCTTATTATCTTTCCGTAAGCAACATTTGCATTTGAAAGCCAAAAATTGAAGAAATAGATACACCAAACCATAGATGGTCATGAAGCTAGCGCCCAGAAAGAGGCCAATGGCGCCGCCAAACGACATTATCAACTGATCCGTGCTGAACACGACCCGTCGCTTCATGCCCATCTTGGGCAGATCCATCTTGATGATTATGGTCCGCTCGAACTGCTCGCCCACGTAGTTTTGATCGCCCTGAAAGAAGGCTGGCATGGGTTAATTGGGGGTTTCACGGAGCATCAAGAGTCCACACACACCCCGCTCTGCTCGTACTCCTCAATGATGCTGTAGGTGTTCTCCCGGCACAGTGGAAAGCACTGGCAGGGCTTTTCCAGCCACTTGGTGCGCGCCAAGCACAGCATCCCGGTTATGTTACAGACGGGTGCATTGGGAGCTGCCACATAGAAATAGGGCTTGCATTTGCACAGGCTTAAGGCCCAGTTTATACGACATTCCAGGCGACAGAAGCTGGGATGATACGGCTATAACGAGAGTGGTGACTCTTTTTTTTCAAAAATCCCATTGTCCGGGAACCCCAAACTCACATGGTAGTACTTGAGGTTGTTCTCGTCCGTGTACCGACATTTTCGATAGGCCACTGGCAAATTTCGAACCTCGGCATCCGCTGATATCGAGTTAACCAGGAGCTTTAGGACATAGGAGCTCTTGACCTTGGCATCGAAGGTGACAGTTCGTCGGTCGTGGGGCAGCATCATCTCGTTGACATCGTGTAGGTACTAAAAAGTTGGTCCGGAATAGATACTAGTCCTCCTAGAGATTTGTTTCTTACCAGAAATACATGGGTCAGGATGCTATTAAAGGGCTTGTGCATCAGCTGGCAGTCGTTAAAGAATCCACACATCCGCACTGGGGTAACATTCAGCTTCTGTCTGTTGAAATCAATTTAAATATGAAAATCTGTAGGGATTAGTTTGTCCTGAAAAAGTTTTGATCACTCACAGCTTCCCGTATGGATTGGCAAAACGTGTTAACTGGCTGCTGGTCTGACATAGACCCACTTCCGTCATAATCGGCGCCAGGACCACAGGATGCGGAGGCGGCATCACATTCTCCTGCAGCTTTAGCAGCATTTCCACATAAGGCAAGTTGTCCAACGTGGAATCATTTTTAAAGGGTCTCAGCGTCTCCAGGTTGTTGTACTTTAAGCGATTGAGCACGCGGAGGAAGTTTCCGTAGTAAGCCGATGTTTCGTTTGCAGTGGGATCCACTCCCCAAGTGCTGGATATTAAAAGTTAGGAAATTTTCTAAAATAATCAATTCAATTTCCCTTAAGGAAAATGCTAATAGCTGATAACATTTAAACGATATAAGCAATATCATCTGGCAGCTCGACTCACTGCTTTATGAGCTTGTTCACCGTCTCATCCGTCTCATAGTTGGTGCAGAGTGTTAACCCCAGGAAGGTGAAGTTGCGCAAGGCGAACAGATACTCGTACTCATAGACAATGGGATGCTTGCGGAACCGATCCCACTGCGCAATGCAGCTGTTGATAGCGTAATACGCCGAGATCAGTACCATGGAGAACCAAAAGAGACGCTCGGTCCAGTGCAGATCCCTGCGGGTCACATAGGGATTGCCGTGAATGGAGGACTCCTCGGCCAGTTCGGCGCACCAATCGTGCGAGTTTTCCGGCTCTGACTCCTGCTTCGACCTGCTGCTTCGGGAGTGCATGATGAACTAAAGGGGAAGCTCCTCGCATGCGACCCCCAATAGGCGCTGTAATGCCCCAGGTATTCATATACGGCTTGTTCGGATTTGTTTGATAATCAGCTTTAATGGTGTTTTGCTGTATGTTAAGCATGCATATATAATTGTAGAGCTTAGACCTTCACCATGTTGCCGCGGATCTCGGTGCAAATGGATACTGGGCGCTTGGTGTTGCGCTTGTCGAATGCCTCCAACAAGATGACCAACTTGTAGCGGCCTTCAAAACTCGGTATATTCACATTTGCCTTCATTTCCAACTGGTACTTTTCTATCTTAAGGACGGCCTGAAAACGGATAAACTTGGGTGAATGTCTCGGATAGCATATCCACTCACTCCTGGTGTGTTTAGGCACTTGGTCTTGATCTCATCTGAATTGGTGATATGTTGCGTCCAGAACTGATACCAAAGCTGTCCCTTCTCGAACATGTTTCTGCAAAAGTTCTTACTGCTGGCCGAGAACATTGTTTTCTGCCAAGTGTTGTGCTCCATGCGATAAATTTGTCCCAAAAACTGAAAGAAAAGAAAGATTGCTAAAGGAAATAATGAATTTCATTGTCGCAATTTACCGTTATGGTATCCCCAGGCTGGACATCTTTCCAAATGACAGGAGGTTCACCTTCTATTTCAAGTACGCCTCCATGGGTAGCTACTTTCAGTTTGGACATGTCTAGAAGGGCGTCTACGTTGGAAGGATTGCCAGGTTGATTCTCGCAAGGACGATATACTCCTTCATCGTCAATTTTAAACTGGTATTCAGTGGCCTGCGTCAGAGTGATGAGGCACAGTTGAAATACCACGATTCGTAATTTGGTCCACATCTTGATTAGGTTGTAAAATGAAGGGACAACGATTCGTTATTTATACAGTATTTTTATCGCATTACATAGATTTTTATAGGTAGACACATCTAATTCGATCATATTAGCTTTTTCCAAAATCACAAAGGGGCGTATATATATTTTGTGTTTGTCTGGCAATAAGTGTCGGATAGAATTAATTATTATTACGCGATGGGATCTGCACATACGACACCTGCGGCTGCTGTTTCCGATCGAGCGGGTCACGCCCACATGCCCGGCTAGCTCAGTCGGTAGAGCATGAGACTCTTAATCTCAGGGTCGTGGGTTCGAGCCCCACGTTGGGCGGATTTATTTTTCAATTTTCTCTTTTGTTTCGGTTATGTAGATTGAAAATTAATTAATTATTTTCAAATCATTTGGTCATTTTCTTTTGACACCAATTCCACAGAAAAATACAGAAACTGGTTAGAGGCGATTGTCTTACATTGTTTATGCATCGTCGAATATGTTAATACATTTAAATGGCAGAAAAATTAGCTCAATTAGTCTATTGTTTTTTATAATTATTATTTATGCATCAAGGCGGTTTTAATTTATGGTCATACATATGTACGTATGTCTGATCATGTAATATCTGGGGTCAATCTATTTTTAAGTTTATCTTTAATTTAGAATGCTCGTCGGCATGCCAGAATATTGGCTCGCAGAAAATCGTATGCCCGGCTAGCTCAGTCGGTAGAGCATGAGACTCTTAATCTCAGGGTCGTGGGTTCGAGCCCCACGTTGGGCGAATGTTTTTTTTCTTTTTATTGTATTATGTTATTTTTAATTTTTCGCTAATAGATTAGTTTTTATAAAGGAGAAAGTTTAAAACAAAAAAACATATTCATCGAAATGCTCAATTGTCTTTCCTATTACTATCAAAATATATTTATTATTCTGTACTTTATTAATATTGTGTACTTATATTGTATCCGGTTTAATTAATAAAATGTTCTCAATATTACACGTTTTTTTTCGTGTAATATTTATAATTATTCCTTATTTAAATTCTTTTTACATGAAGAATTGCTGTGGGCTCACTCGTTTGCTTTTTGGCGCCCCCTTCATCAAGTGCCCGGCTAGCTCAGTCGGTAGAGCATGAGACTCTTAATCTCAGGGTCGTGGGTTCGAGCCCCACGTTGGGCGAAAGTTCTTTTTTCCATTTTCATTATTATTATTTTTTATTCATTTTATTATATTTTAAATATTTCCTAATTGTTTTGTTCAAGTTTTGGTGTTTTACTGCTAAGAGGCTAATGTTTGATTTGGGCTCGTGCTTCGATGGCGTGGGCTGCAAGTTGCTCAGATTGTATTATTTATAGGCGAGCCAATACAACAGACGAGACCTAATGAGTTTTTATTTATGGCAACCTTCGCAGCTGACGCAACGCGCTGCCATTCCTATGACAATATATCTCGCCGGCTTATTCCCCTCCTCCTCCTCTCTCCTGTATTGTTTTCTTGTGCGGAATCCGCTAAAAGGCACATTCAAGGCTAGGCCTTTATTGAAATGAAATGGCAGCTACCAGTGCATTCTAGTTGAGAGTGAACAGGATGTGGACAGGATGCCGTCAGGCTGTGAAATCTGGAGCAAGGTCCTTTTGCTTTGTGAATAAATGGAACTGTGAACGTATGTGGACTTAGCGATTTAGATTTATAACTTTTTTATTTAATACCATTCATATATCATTAAATATTTCACAATAAATAACAGATTTTCTTCTAGGTCTTCAGATCAGTCTTAATATTTTTTTGGTAACATTTTTCTGGATCCAAATTCACTATGACTGTGGTCACAGTTCCGTTCCGTCTGTAGATCTGGCTTCTCCCACGCACAGACTATGAAATCTGAGCTGAGACTGGAATGTGCTCTGCATTTTCCCCTTGAAGAGCCACAGACAATTATATAGCGCAAAGAATCGTCGTCTTGGATGTATTAATTACTTTGCGTTATTCTGTAAATGACTTTGCGGGAATGATTCCTGATGCTGTTCACTCTGCTGACGTGAACTGACTGATGGATGTACTGGCTTATGTGCTCAAAGCCAGTTTTATTGCATATGACATGTTGTGATTTTAACTGCGCCTGCTTGACTGCATGTTAGCTTTTGCTCTTTCTACAACGAACAACAATCAAAGGGTAATTAATTTTAATGAATATGAAATTGTATTTGCGATACACAAGAGAGAATCGAGGCATGTGTTTAAATTGTGCTTGTTACTGCGGGTGGGTGTGGTGTTGTCGCGTAAAATTATGCAAAAGAGTTTAGTATTCATTTCGTTTTATTTTGCTGCATTTTTATGTTAGATAATTGTGTCACAGAGTCTGGTAAAAAAGGCGGCATTAAGACTGAGCTTCTCGTATTGAAGCTATTCGTTCTTTACAATGTCTGGTCTAAATTGGAAAAGTTCTTTTATTTGTTTTTAAATTAGTTTTCAAGATCAGTTTTCGCTCTCTTAAGACCGTGCACTTTGAAAAAGCTTTGTCAACAATTAATATATTATTAAAAAACCATTATATTTTCTTCCACTTACACTTTGTCTTAGATTTTAGTGGCTTTTCCCCTTGATTTGTCTTGATCATCTAAGCCAAATTAATATACCTACTCTCTGTTAGGGTAAATCAAGTTCTGTTGATATTTATCTTAATATACTATAAATAGTACCACTGCATTTTAATATAACATGCAATTTTTCATTAGATATTGTTGATCTGTTTGTACCATGTTAATTTGAGCTGATTTAGTGCCGTGTAATCCAAATCTTTATCCGTAACTGTTGGGCAATTCGCCCACCCTTTATTGGCTATATAAAGCATGATCCAACAAATATTAAAATTAATAATGTTGAGACTTGTGCTACTACTTTTTGCGGGCGTAACCGGGTCCTTGGCCGTGGACTATGAGCTGCTGCTCGAAGACCCTGATGTTTTCTCGCGCTGCACCGAGCCTCAGCCCGGAGCGTTACATTTTGAAGATCTATTCAACAAGGATGACCTTGAGCTCGATCAGGAAGCTGAGATCATTCACATCTCCGGGGATTTAACTACGATTTGGGACGTGCAGCCCACCGACCGTATTTCCGTAAATTTACTCATCCTGATGGAAGCACGACAGAAATCAATCCCATAACCATTTCAGGCCAGGTTCGCTGTAATGCACTTTGAGCGCGGCAGCTGGGAACCCACTGTATTCAGTTTGGCTACAGGAGACTTTTGCTCCGTGATGTTTGAGAGGGATTCTTATTGGTTTAAGCAATGGACTTCCCATATTTCGAACCGAAAGGAAATACAGGAGAAGTGCCTCAATACCCGTGGTGTGAGTCTCGTCCTTTACGATGATTTTTTATCGGCATTACGCTCTTTCGAAATGGTTTTTATTTCAGACTACGCTGGTGCATGATCCGTTTGATTTTCGACTAAATCTTGAAAACATTACTGGCCCAACCTTTCAAGGACGCTACAAAGTGGTGTGCACTTTTGAGGCTTTCGACGAGAAGAACATCCCGCGAAGAAACTCTATTTGCTTTGAAATGCGAGGCGAAGTCAAGAAGCTAAAGAAAAAAGTTCACTGAGCTCTTACTTATGCGTTTATTATAACTTAATACTATCATATATAACTATATCGTATTCAAGCAATCAAATATATTTGTGCAGTTCAAGTTTGACGGTCTTGGGAACCATTTCCTAAACCTTTTCTTTTTGCCAGATGACAAAGACATTTATATACTTTGGTAAATGGTTTTATCGAAAAATATTAATTACAATGAATATCTATTTGTCAAATGGTTGAAATCTTTAAGGGAAATAAGATAGTATCTCAAATCCACTGGAGTCTTTTTGGTTTTACCCAAACCTTATATTATCTTTTATGTCACAAATAATTTTAATATCTCTCTTAGTAGCGATTCAAAGATTTTTTTTAGCTGTACTCTAAGAGAGCTTTAAAAGAAACCATAGAAACCTTCACATCATTGAGGGAGCTTACTCTTTTAAGTTTCTTCTCGTGTGGTTTTGGGAGAGCATTCGAGAGTGAAAAGTCACAGGATATGAAAGCTAATGATATAAATACAGAAAATGTAATTCCTATATATTAGTACAATTCAATGAGAAAGAAAATGTACTATAGTTGTTAATTCGTTTAATAGTGGCTTGATAATCGATAACATCCCGTGATGGGATTAGGAGCAGTGTTGTTTGTGTTAGTCAGTAATAATTAGATTAGAAACAAGCTTTTATTAGTAATTCGTTATGATAAATTCTGATAAGATGTCTGCTGCCTGATGTCTACTGCTTGTCTTTAGCGTGATTTGGTCCTGGGCCCTAGACTACGAACTGTTAATCGAGGATCCAGACATATTCTCGCGCTGTACCGAAGGACCGATTGGCTCAATTACCATTCAGGAGGCGTTCGATTTCGATGATCTCTCCAATTTATTGAATATCTCCACACAAATACATTTATTTTACATCGTCTACAATTTTTATCACATTTCTTTTACTCTTACTTGTATATTTTATGAGATCTGATGTTTCATATGGACAGACGGACAAAAACTTATAGACTTTAATGAGTCGAATATGGCCTTCACTCCGTGGCTCTCAAAATTATAATACAAGGGATCAACAATTTTAAATATTCAACTTAAAACTCATGTAAACTGAGGAAACCAGGGCATTTAGATAAATAGTTTTTAGATTCGAATATCAATCTTTATTATCGTAAAACTAATATGAGAGCACTGAAGTTCGTGAGAAGGAGTTGTTTATTTGCGATGACAGCCCGCGATTAAATTTAACTACAATGTTGTGCTAAGTCAGTAATGATTTAATTAGAAATAATGTTGTTTTCCTCAGTAATGGGTTTTGAAAAAATGCATTTCGGGCGGCTATAAAGGGTCTGATCCCACAATTACTCGGGTGCAATAATGTTGGGAACTCTATCACTACTGGTTATCTTCGGCGTGACTCGGTCCTGGGCGGTGGACTACGAAATGCTCATCGAGGACCCGGACATATACTCACGCTGCACCGAAGGACCGCCCGACTCTATTACCGTCCAGGAGGCGTTCGATTTGGACGATCTCACAATCGCCATGGAGAGTGATATACTGCACGTCTCCGGGAATGTTACTGCCAAATGGGAAGTGCACCCCACCGATCGTATTGTGGTAATGTCGCAGCAGAAGCACCGACTACAAGTTAAGCTTAACGCTTGGATCCTTGCAGGCAAGGGTGGACATATTGCACTTCAACCGCGGCACCTGGGATCCCACTGTCTTCTCTATGGTCACACAGGACTTCTGCTCGGTGATGTACGATAGAAATCAGTATTGGTTTAAGTACTGGACCACCTATGTAACCAATCGCCACGAAGTCGTACACCAGTGCCTCTCGACTGGAGTGAGTGCCAGCTGACCTTGAATCTCTATTGCCCAGTTTACAAATGTCTTAAATTTTCAGACCATCTTGGTACATGAACCGTTTGATGTGAGATTGAAAATGATGAACTACCGGGGTCCAGAGCTTCGAGGACGCTATAAGATGATGATAACCCTAAAGGCATTTGACAAAAACTTACCGCGACCGTCTTCAATTTGCACAGAAATTAGAGGAGAATTTTTGAAAGCTTAGTAATGGAAACAGGACTCTTTCGAGTTAGTTTTCTTTACAAAACTTTTTTTTAGTTGATTCCATAATTGGTTATAAACACATACATATAGAAATCAAGGTAAACGAACCTTGAAATAAATTTATTTGTTACTGTTTTACCGACAGGAAGTGGTATTTGTTATCAAGATTAAACAAGTTGTTTTCACATTGAAAACATGTATGTTTTTACGATCAAATCACTCACTAACAAGCATAGCTCTTTCGAAACCTAAAATGATAGTTTCAGATTTAATAAACAAAATAGATGGGATTGATGGGCTAAGTACTGATGATGTTTATAGTATATATATGTACATATATCTAATGGGATCGGAAATGTCTATATTAGGGACTTGTGATTTAAAAATATGTTTATATCATTTAGTGGTATCAGACTAGGGGACTTATCGCTATTTCCTGGTTATATTACGCTGTGTATTTCTCTTATATTCGTTTTGCTTTGCGGCTTGTGGTTTGTGGCACGCGTTGTCGGCAACTTGAGTTCATGCTGCGGTTGCCACATCGGTTGACCGCATGTTGCAAGTAACTCCTTGGGTTACGGCGGGCAGCAGAACGAGAATGGGAAAGAGCTATACATGGGCAGCCAGCAGCCCGCCTGTCGGAGTCAGTTGCTTTTCATATTTGGGGTCACGACTGCCATTGTTGGATGAGAAATATGCAAATGCAGCCGACTGTCGGCTATTGAATTACCCGATGATGATTGGCATAAGCCCGATCGATTCAAATCGAACCAATCGATTTGCCAATTTGCCAAGCTCACCGCGGCAAATACGGTTGGGAGATAGCCGAAAACTTTCGAGGCGGGAGGGATGCCATGCCGCCGAAACACTTTCATTTCATATTCCTGGTGAATAATTTTCTACTTTCTAAACCCGAAGAGCCCCAAACAGAAACAGTTTTTAGGTGCAAATTAGCAGCGCACGACTCCGCGGCAAAGTCAACATCTGGCCAAGACCGAAATTATGACCGCAGGCACTCATACTCATAGTGTATATACGATACATCGCATAGAAAATCAATCAGTGCGGACTTCTGGCCAGGCTCTTGGACTTTGCATAAGGAACGGCTCTTTCGGGAGCCTATAGCCTGGCTGCTTTGTTCTCTAACCCAAAATGTGCAAAGTAGGACGAGGCGAAGTGATGGCTCTGAACCCGTTTTGGCCAACTCCGCCCCTTTCTAGCTGCTTTCTGCTGCCACTGCTGCTGTTCGGGAATCTTTGGGCCACTATCGAGCAGCGACTGCAACGAAATTGATGCATGAATGGGTCTGTGAACCAGCTGAGGAGTCGGTTCGTGTGGGCCGCCTTTGTAGGCTATTGGAAAGATCAAGAGTTATAATGCCAGCCAGAGTCACACGTACAGCGGTGTGTCTGGTTGTGGGTCTCTGTGTCTCCGTGGTTGTGTGAACTTTTCCAGTTTGCCGAGAGTTTTGCCTGTGTAGCCAGCCGCTGCTGTGAGTGGCATAAATTGTGGGTTTTTAGGTGTCTGGCTCGGCAGAGAGTCGGCCTGCCAAGATAAATGGATACACATAGAGGTGCTTGCTTGCCTGGATGCACCATGTACATGATACTCGCTGGCTTCCTCAGCCCACAGTCTGCCAGAAACTGGAAGTGTTTCGAGTACACAACCACTATCAAGCGGGAATGATTCCAGCTTTGGCTTCCTAAAGCTGACGATTTGGAAAAGATATAGGCTTTAATTTGGGCTTTTTAAATTCAGAGGTTTATTTTGCTTTTCTTGAAAGACTTTCCAGAAAAAAGGGCTATTGTTTTCTTAGTAAATCTAACGGAAAAGCTATTGATTCAACCATAGATTTTGCGAAGAGTGCGCTTAAAATTCCCAAGTCTGAATTCAGTGTTATGCTAGACATGTGGCATACGAGACATCGTAATGGAAAAAAAGGCTGTAAACAACCTGCTGCACTTGCCTAGAAACAATAACAATCTGTGTTTGATGTGGTACAAAGTTGATCTCTTATTCTGCATAAATTTCTCAAATTCTTTAAAATTACATTGAATTCGAGAATTTTTTAAGAGTTGGGGATAGTTTTAGTGTATCCTGTTTGTACCTTATAAAGTCACTAGTCACTAGTCGCTCCCTGGCTTGTTTTCCATCCATTCATAAGGAAATGTGCGGGCTTTAAGTCGGACCAGCTGAGCTCTCTCGCCCAACGCCATCACAAAATACAACTTGCACGCCAACGCGAACGACTTGGGCCTGGTCAATGTAATGACAGCCTCGCGTGTTTTGGTCCGCTAGCGGATGGCTGGATTGGTATCTGGCTTCGGTGGCCTGGTGGCAGCTCTGTATGACAACAAAATGTTCATTCACAAAATGCCGCCAAGCCAGTGCCTGCCCACGCAATCGAGGCAAAAGACGCTTATCAAGTTGTCGTTGGCTGTTGGTTGGCAAACAAAAAATTGTTTTGCAACGTTATAAATAAAATAAAAAAAAAATATTTGCATGTGGGCTGCGATTTGGAGTTTAAACGTGGTTCAATCATTGGGAAAATCGGCTTAAAACTGTATGAAAATTTAAATATTTATGGCCCTCGGGGTGAAAGCATTCATTCATATTTATTATTTTTAAGTTTTCTCTTGCCTTTAATGATTTTGTTTGAATTCTTTTTAATGATGCTTTCCCTAGTCTCTTGTTTTATTTTAAGGTTATTTACCTTATTTTATCGTATATGGTTGCCCCTAGTTATTATTGTCTTTCGAATATTGTTTTCATTGTTAAGGGTTTCCATTGCACAAACAAAAATAAAAAGCTTGCAGAAAATGTTCAAAATCGATTTCCGTTCAATTATTATTTTTTGCGCTCGGCTTATTTTATTTATTTTCTTTTGTTTGTCTAGTGTTTTCCCGGGTTTGGCTTCAGCATTGTCTGACTTTTTATGCAACTACCCTGGCCCAGACCCGGCTTCTTTTGGGCATTTTGCATTCGAATCGATTTTGCGATTGACATTTGGCTGGCTGGCTTTTGTTTAAAGCTGTGTTTGAATTGCGCAAAATCGAAAGTGAAATGGAAATGGAATTGCAGTTGGCATTTGCTTCATGGGCTGGGCTGGAGCTGGGTTAATCCCCCTCCTGGTCAGTAAATTAAAACACTTGATGTCTTCATTATAAAGCTTCTTCCCCCTTTGCCTTCTGCTTTCAATGTCATTTGTTGTGCAATTGAAATATTATTATGGGCAATTGCCAAGCAAAACAAAACGAAAACTCGTTTTCGCTTTTATTGACCATTTGCGCTTCTTTACTTGCTATTATTTCTCTTTTAAAAAAAGAAGCACACATAAAATCTTTAGCTGCCTTTTACGGCTGCCTCTTGACAATCCGTTGCCGGACCCTGGGACTTGGCCAGAAGCCACCGACTTGCCCAAATAAGTATTTTGGACGGGATTATGTGAGAAAACTCACATATGGTTATTCTCTGAGAACAAATGCCATCTTCTATTGGGATTATTATTATAACAAATCGAATAAAGTCATTGTCTAAGGTATCTTTGTCTTTGCAAATTTAATTAAACGTAATCACATCCGCCTACGGGGGAAATTTCATTAAAATTCACCTCAAGGGGTGAGAATCGATATCTATCCATATGGATCTCCTGATTCTCAATTCGGCTTTGTTGGGTCATTTACTCAATGAATTTGCACCATATTTTTCTGCTTTAATACGTACGTATACATTTTCTGTTTTAATGAAAAGCGCAGACAACAAAAGTCAAACTCAATTAGATTAAATCCAGCTAAAATGACGTGATGACAATGTGAACTTTTTGATTTAAAGTATGCCCCCACAGGCAACCCGAAATTGAGCTCAGTCAGAACCTTCTGCTCTGTGGTTATTTTTTTTAGCTTGAGCTTTATCAGTCGTGTGTTCAAAATGGGCTAAGGCAAAGGGAGACCTTTCTTTTATGTAACACGTACGCCCAATTTGTGTTTTTATGTCAACCGAATGTAATTTTCCCATAGACGAGAGGTTTATTGCATTCCTTGACTTTGGCCGGTCTCTTATTGATTTTCCTTGGGTCTTTCCTTTTGTTGGAGCTTGGGAAAACGTTTGGCTTACGTAAGATTTTATTGGCGCAAGAAGCACTTTGGGTAAATACTTTATTGGCTTTGGGATTCTCTGATTGTTTGTTGGCCAACTTATTTAACTAATTTATTCCCTTCCTGTCTTGCAGAATACTTCACCGCTGTGGGAGGATTTCGTAGCAAAGGCCGGAAAACTGCACACATGCTTGAGGTAAGTTTATTCCAGCAATAACATTGATTTCCCTATCGGAAAATTCTCCTCCTAGTATCAACGAGATCTCGACAGGGGCCAGACAGCGATTGCAATTGCAAAACTTTAGAATGAGAACATGCAAATGAATAAACAAACTTTTCGTTTACCTCGACTTGCTTTTTATGCGTTCTCCCTCCTCACACTCGGGCATTGGCATTATGTGTCTACGATTATTTTTGTACTTTTTCTGTGCTGTGGAGACCACCGACGCGGTCTCCGTGTTTTTTGTTTATTTTCTTTTCTCCTCTGTTGTTTTTATGCTCCGACTTGGCCCAAATTTGCCTTCGGACGAGGATCCCCGAAGCAATGTGTCTGGGCATCGGCATATAGCCGCCATATAACGGATGCATTAATCATACCCCGAATCACGTTGTCCGAGCTGAAATCACCGGGCTTGCCAAAACTCGCTCCGAGTGTTTGCCCGCTGCGCTTGACACACATCCATGCCGGGTCCATGCGGGGTGTGGACTTTCGGCGACCGACCACTTGAGTGGATCAAGACCCACCGTTGGTTCCACATCTCTTAATACTCTTGCAAGGGGTACTTCACCATACACTGGCGATATTCGTCTAGAGTCATCTATAAAAACATTCATACACTACGCCTAAAAACAATTTCCGCGATTTGTACTTACTCTAAACGAGTTGTGCCCTAAACCCAGACTCGCAAGTCAACTAATTTTGTAATGCCAGGCCTCTACCGCCACATAAACGATGTAGTTACTTACATTCTGTGTTGACTTGTTATTTTGTCGCTTAATTTACTCTTTTGTAAGAGTTAAAAAGTTTATTTAGCTACATTTATGCAAAAATATAAAATGTTTGGTTTTTTTCACGCATCTATCAATTTTAACTTCTAGACGGACAATATTCTTGACTAAGAACGGTAGAAAATATTGATATATCGAGGGGAAGGGATAATTTTACGATACATGTGCGATAAACACATATTCTACTTGATATATTGGATCAATTTAATCTGAAAAAACACGATTAATCACATAATATATTTGTTTATAATATTTATATATTTTCTACGATAAATTTAGTTATTCTTTGATGCCTAAAAGTTCGATTTATCAAAGTTTACAATATTTTCGAGAAGATTGATAGCAGAAAATATCGATATATTGAGACGAGAGTGATATTTGAGTCGATAATCGATACATAAATCAATATTTAAACATTTCGATGCTTTTGCGATGTATAGATTATAATAGATATTGTATATATAATAATATTACGAGATATCAACGTTTACAATCGTTTTTATATAATATTGAGCGTGATTTTTGGGTCAATATAATATATCGAACTTAATCTTCCTGAAAACGTACTATCTAATAGTTATGTTCCTTTTCTTTATACCTTTGTGAAATTTTAGGCTGTTTGTTAATCTTGTATTTATTAAAATATTATTTAAGCGATTCAAATCATCAAACAAGTGCAAGGGTATTTCTATATTCGGCACCCTACAAACATCTTCATTCCCACTGCACTGGGTGCGGTGTCTCTCTTCATTTCTTTCTCTAGCTGTCTCCTAATTGAAATGTCGCCCACGGCCAATTGAAGAGGAGATTATTATTAACTCTCCCCACAAAAATAAAGCTGTATTACTTTGATTTTCTTTCGTTCACAGGGCCGCCATCCAAGCAATCGCCGCCTATTTGGATGCCTTCCAGAAGATAGCCGATGCGGCGACCAATTCAAGAGGTAAGTTGAAGCCGCGAACTCGTCTGGGTTGGCTGGCTGCCCGCGAAAAAGTCCGGGGATCCCCTGTGTCCCGACCTGGTACTGTCTGCGCACTATATCTCTTTCCGCTGCTCATTATTCATGCGTCCGCTCGCAGTCGGCGGCGGTCATCGATCTGATTTTCTACACACTCACGCTTTCGATGTTTATGTTGATGTGGCCGTTGCTGTTCTGTCTGAGCTCACGCATTTCGCTGCTTTTGCTATTTATATTTATTTATTGGCTGCCTTTGCGTCGCACTCATCGAGTGTCCGATTATGCAATGTCGGCGGATGGGCTCACCTCAGCTCATCGGGGGACGGGAAATTGAAAAATAACCAGATGCCTGAGGCGGTAGGAGTAGGGGCAGGAGCGCGGTGCTCAGCATCTCCACTGGAGAAAACCGAGAGGAGAGGCAGCTAGAACAGACAGCTTGATGTTGTCATGCTTTTGTTAGTTACAGTTGCATTCGTTTGAGTGGAAAATCTGGGTTTTATTCAAAGGTAATGAGGTTTATTGCAAGATATTGTTATTGTTGAGGTAACAAAGAGAGTAATCTTGTGTAAATAAGGGTTAAATTACTAGTAAAAGTTGATTTTATAATCAAGCCATTAACTTAATGAGTGCATGATGCTAAGAAAGGCATTCATAACTATTTATTGTTATTCCGCATTAAGGTGGTTGTTAATTATAACATATTTATATTCAGACTTCATGCAATATGAAAATACCATCAAGACATGCGATTTTTAAAACGCATTTCCAAATGAATGTAATTATTATGAAAAGCATTCGCTACATTTCCTAGATTAAATTGATGATTGTTGGGAGGCCTGAATGATTGGTAAATTGAACAGTCTTGAAGGTTAATGCATATAGGAAACTCTTAAACTTGAATTAAAATTATATATTCTTCAGTTCATGGAGGATTTTTCTGTGCTAACCCCGGCTTCATTTAGTTAAGCCTGAAAAAACCATCTGCTCTTTACGATAATCTGCACTCTCGGGCTGGGCGGAGTTTTGCATTAGCATATATTGATCCACTCCCGCCATGTGGTGCGTCCCCCTTCCTGCTGGCCTCTGGCTGGTGCCAAGTGCATATACTCGTAATTCCGGCCATTTGGCCACTTGCCACCCTTTTTGAGCTCGAAACTGGCTAAATGGTTTCATTAGTCTTAGTGGTTACTTGGCTTAGTTCGGTCAAGCATTGTCACAAGTGTCAATTGTCCTTTTTGAGGGTGGAACGCAACCCGAGGCCCGCCTTTTGCACTTGCCATCCTTTTTAAGGTGGTGCTTAGTCTGGGCCGAGACCAAATATTTCCCATTCAATTATGTGGGATTTGGAGCAAGTGTCTCAGAGAGCGGCCCAGTCAAAGCAGAATCAATAAGCTGTCGCCTGTTTGGCAGATAATTACACATTAAACGAGGATGGCAACAGTCACGGCCTAAGTCGGAGGCAGTCCGAGATAATCGGGCCGGCTGTCACTCTTTGGTGATAGACAGAAGGCAGGAAGAGCAGCAAAAAGGAGGAGCCGTAGCAGTAGCGGTTACCCTGACCAGTTTTCCTGGATCCGACATGGCGTAATGGGCACACACGGGACTCGGGATTGGAAGCCAGGGACTGTCCAGATGGAGTAGAGTCCCGAATCGTGCCGCATGCAATGTCCGCTGAGCCACCAAATCGAAGCGACAGCGCGTGGCGTGCAGTCGTTATTGTTGCATGCTCTAAACATTTCCGCCGCCAGCTTTGCTTCCATTCAACGCGCGATGTTCCCCTTTGCCAATTTAATTTGGCATTTATTTAATATTGACTCATATGAAATGTTCTGATTGTACGCTTTAAAAAAATAATAATTCCTGCAGCCCAGTCCTCTGTCCGAACACACTGTTATAAATCTGTTATATTTGGATCAAAGCCACTGAAACAGGAGATAATATAGGCGAACGAAGTTATGACTTTGCAATGTGATTCAAAGGAGAGATTTCTTAGCAGTATCAGCATCGACATCAACAGCCGATTCGATCTAGCCTAGAGGTTTACGCCGATGGTTAAAGGCATCGGCGGCGGCGTAGAGGTCAAAATGACTCGGCGGCGGCGGCGTAGTAGTCAGAAAGAACCGGCGGCGGCGGCGCGTCAAATAAGGCAAAAAGGCCATTTTAATGAGTTATTTTTTTTTTTTTAAGTTTTATAAAGAACAATGACACTGAAGGCCGCGCTGAAGCTGCGCCGATGCCGCACCAGCGGCGCGCCGAGGCGCGCCGTTATTTTCATAATTTGGCGGCGGCGCGTCAAATAAGGCAAAAATCGGCGGCGGCGGCGGCGTGGCGCGGCGGCGTATATGTCTAATCTAGCCATATCATTTTGGCGTGTCCGTCTGTTTTGAGGCAAAGATTTAATTGAAACGAACCAGACTAGACGACTATAGCAGCTTTTATATATTTATTTTTGAAGACACTTCAATTCATATATTTGTTTTCGATTTTAGGCGCCTCCAAAGAGATTGGCACTGCCCTGACCCGCGTCTGCCTTCGCCACAAGGCGGTCGAGACGCGCCTAAAGACCTTCACCAGCGCCATTATGGATTGCCTAGTGCAGCCACTGCAGGACAGGATCGAGGACTGGAAGCGAACGGTGGCCACCATTGACAAAGACCACGCCAAAGAATACAAGCGCTGTCGCAGTGAGCTGAAGAAGCGCTCCAGCGATACACTGCGCCTGCAGAAGAAGGCGCGCAAAGGCCAGACAGACGGACTGCAATCGCTGATGGACTCCCACATGCAGGACGTTACCCAGCGCCGGGCTGAGCTGGAGGAGGTGGAGAAGAAGTCGCTGCGCGCGGCCATGGTCGAGGAGCGATTGCGCTATTGCAGCTTTGTTCACATGCTGCAGCCGGTGGTGCACGAGGAGTGCGAGGTCATGTCCGAATTGGGTCATCTTCAGGTGCGTAGGTCATCTCCCAGGCTTGGGCGCAATTTCTAAAGTATCTTTCTTTACAGGAGGCCATGCAGTCGATTGCCCTGGTAACCAAGGAGCCCACTGTCCTGCCCCAGGCCTCCGAAGAGCTAATCCACGATGCCAAGGCCAGTATCAATCTGTACCCAGAGTCTCCGGGAGGTGGCTCCGGCTCTCAGGGCGGCGGCTGCTCAAACTCGCTTGGTTCCCGAAAGAGTTCCGTCTGCTCCATCAGCAGCATGAACAGCAGCGGATCCAGCAATTCTCCCGGCCATCACCACTATCCACGCTCTCTGTCGCAGGTGCGTCCCCCTCGAAAGGCTTCCTTGACCATCAGCCAACCATTATTAGTCCGTTCATTTCTTTGTTTTCATCAACGATCTCTTGTGTTTCGTTTCGTTTACGTTTTATTTTAGTTTGTAACGCCCGCAATTCGCTTGAAACCTGGTGAATCCAGTGATAGTGGCTTTAGCTCATCGCCAGCTCTAACAACAACACAGGTTTTCATTTATTTTTCTTCTGTTTAATTTTTACCGATTTACAATTACGCTTTTGTGTGTGCCTTGTAAGGGTTTTTGTCCAATTCTAACAGTCTTTAATTTCGATCGTTCTTTTAGACTTCAAATGCAACGAATCAGACGGCTAATGTCTCCACTTGGCCGCCACATTCCCAGGACGTGGTGGACACTCTCCCACCGACTGCCGATCGTCCGCATACCATTTCGACGGCTTATGAGAAGGGTCACCAGCGTCCGCCGCTGACTGTCTACACGTTCCAGAACCCGGAGACCATTCCCGAATCTGGCACTGGCCTTAATAACGGTTCACCTGCCAATGGACAGCCGTCGCCGGGACAGACTACTCCGGCCACTCAAAAGTCGCCGGCTGCCACTCTTAGTCGTCCGCCGTTGCCAGTTGTAAGTATTTATTGGCCTCAATAAGGACTTAGGGAATATACTTCGATGGTTTTATATTATTGAAAGAAGGAGTTTGCAAAAATAATAAAAGATGCGTAACGTCATATAGCGAAAGTCAAGCGCAAGCGTGAAGGCGTTACGCATCTTATTATACCCTTGCAGGGTACCATTTAGGGTACCATTTCCGACTCTATAAGGGTCCCTTATAAGGGGTTCATCAATTCATCATCATCAATTCTTAAAGTTCTAAATGTAATATGCTGATTTGTTAACCTAACGGGACAAACACAGCACAACACCGAACTAAAATTCTATGGTAAACTGCAAGGGTATACAAATTTGCATCCTACGTGTTGACTGAAACCCCGATCCGGCTGTCGGGTTATCGTATAGTCGGTAGATCGACTATAATTACTTTTTACATGCCTATTAAGTTGTCTCTCTCGTTCTGGTGGTGGCCATCGCCTTAGAAGCCAGCCCATGTGGTGAGTATGCACGAGTCAGAGCAACCCACCGATCGTAGATCCAAAAGCGCGCTCATTTGCATGCGCCCACTCCTTGCTAGCCCAGTGACATAGGTTTCCAAACAGCATCATCATTTTGAGACCTAAATAAAGACTATTGTTGGGGTTAGAACTAATTTTTCTGGACACTTCCTGTTCCTCCTTGCAGCGCTGCTCGTCGCTTGAGCGACCGCTGTCGGCGCAAAGCAACCATCGCCAGGGAAGCGGAAGCAATCTGCTGCAGCGCCAATGCCCCTCGCCGATTCCAGCTCATATCACGAAAGGTAAGCGCCACCCTGGCACTAGAGCTAGAGCTAGTCTTCGTGTGTTTTGTCTGCACGCTTGCCCATGGCTAATCCCATCAGTCTTACTAATGACCGTGTTGTGACACTCTCTCCCACGCCCCCACACGCATGTCCCTGCTAACATCATCCACGCACAGAGCTGTCCGCAGCGCATCACGCACAGCAGCAGCAGCAGCAGCAACAGCAACAGCCGCCACAGACGCCGCCCACCTATGTCAACATGTCCGAACTGGCCAACATGGCGGCTTTGAAACTGACTAACCACCAGCAGCAGCAGCAGCAAAAGTCCGCAACACCGCCGTTGCGGCAGCAGAGCTCCATTGACTCGATCAGCTCGCAGCATTCCAACGACTCCTCGGGCTCGCATCAGCTGCTCCAACAGCAGCAGCCGCACTTGCAGCAACAGCAGTCATCGCAGTCGAATCACCACTCCGCCACAGCCACACGCTCCCATTCCATATCCTCGACGGCCTCCTCGCTGCACTCGCATCCGTCGATCGACTCGACGGTCGCTTGCAGCTCGCTGGTGGGCCAGCACCACCACAGCACCAGCACCAACACGAACACCACCTCGCCGTCCAGTGGCAGCTCCACGCCACAGAACCATTACTCGCCCCTGCTAACCAACTCCCCTACGTCCACTGCCGCAGGTACTCCCAGCGGCAGCAGCATTGGCACGGGCACAGGCCTGGGATTTGTCTACCAGGTCAGCTCACCCACTCCGCCGGCGAGTGAGGTTCTAAAGATCACCGAGCAGGCGGCAGCTGGCACTGTTTCTGAGAATGGAGCCGAGGAAACGGATGAGCGTTCGCGGGCCTCGGTTCTGCAAAAGGCATCCATGTTCGAGAAGGCGGCAGCAGCAGCCGCTATTTCGCCACCAGCTCCGATTTCGGTGACTTCTCCGGCACCTGTGGTTGCTGCACCAGCGGTCCCGGCAGGCGGAACCAGCGGAGGACGACGATCCGAGGCGGAGCAGCAGGAAATGGGTGAGTTGAACAACTATCTGCCAGCAGGATCGTTGCCGCTGAGGAGTGACAACGATAGCAGCACCAAGACCACCCAGCACTTCAGAGCCTCTTTAGAGATTCCCACTCCTCTTTTCATTTTTCTTGCTCAAATTCCATTTATATTTATTTTTATTTTAAACCTCTCGTGCTCTAGTTTGTCACTGTTGATGGCGAGATTCTACGTTTTCCAGAAGTATGCTATCTAATGTTGGGTTCCTCTTTGCGCTTTGAGTGATACAAGTCCAGAGAGTGATGCTCTTAAAGTCTTCACTACTCAATTGCTCACTGTTTATACTCAAAAGAAAGTAAAGATGACAGCAAAACTGGAATAAAGATAGAATATTTCCTACTCGAAAAAGCTCATTGCAAGAACTATAATAACGTAGCATACTCCTAGAAGACGTTTTTATAAAAAATTCCTCTTGAAAGTGAGAAACCAGGGTACGAATGCATTTAAAATTTAACCAAAGATAATTGTAAGATGCGTTACGCCAAGTTAGTGAAAGCTATTCTTCTGCTAACGGCCTCTTGCTCGCACAGAGAGCGGCTAGCTTGAGAGCGCTCTCCCTCTCTCTGTAAGGTTTTTCAATAGAATGTTGAGAGAGCCGAGTCAGAGAGTTTGGCGTTACGCATCTTATTAATTTATATTGTCTTTGATTTAACATTCTTACCGTAAATATTTTTTTGTAACCCCAAAATATCTTTGTTTTTGTTTCCCTCCCTTCTCTTCTCTTCCTATTTTTGGTTTGTTGTTTTATTTGAAACAACAACAACAACAAAATGCACAAAAAAACAACCTGAACAATTATTTTTTCCCGTGTTTACCTCACGTTCGTTCGTTCACCTTACCCCGATATCTTTGTCATCTGTAAACTATCCACAATCAACCAAATGCACCACAACAACAACCAACAACACACCATCTCCAATATCGAATACCAACAACCAACCAACAACTATGCAACCATGACAAACCAATATATGATCTAATAGACAAGTCTTTCGAAGATTCAATACAAGCACTAAATAATCTAATTGGCGAACTAGACTCGTTCCAACGCGAGATCGATGAGGGCAAGGGCAAGCAGCAGCAGATGAGCAACATAAGCAACAACAATATGACAACGAGCAGCCAGAGCAGCAGCGACAACAACAACCTGCCTGCCGCCACCATCATTACCACCACCACCAGCGGCCTCATCGAGCCATGCGCCATCAGCAATCAGACAAACTCCAGCGGCTGCGGCACGGACATATCGGACACCACCTCCGACGAACTGGTCGGCGAGGGCGACGATGGCGATGCCAGGAGGCGGGATCTCGACCGGGACCGGGACCTACTGGGCGCCAGCGATTCGGAGCTGAGTCGCTGCTATGTGAGCGAGACGAGTTCGCTGACCGGCGGCCTGACGGCTGGCGGCTACGAGAACCCCACATTCGCGCACTTCGTGGCCAATGCGAACCGAGGCGAGGATGCCGTTTCGCTGGCCTCGGACAGCGTCTGCCTGGGGCAGCCTCGGCATGCCTACGTGGACACCTGCAGCGACAGCGGCAGTGCCGTTGTGGTGATCTACGACCACCAGATTCCCATTACGCCGGACATTGAGTTTGTGAAGCAGAACTCGGAGATTGTCATGTTGCGGACCAAGGATCCGCAGCCCCACTCGTTGCAGCTGCACGAGATGCGCGAGCTGCAGCAATTGCCGGCCAATTTGACCGGATCGCCGGACTCATCACCGGACTCGGCCGGCGGCCAGGCCCCGCCGCCGCCGGCTACAGCAACTGTGGCGCCCGCCAAGCAGCGACTCTCTTCGTTTCGCGCCACCAGCGAGCAGCAATTGCAGCTCCTCGGACGCGGCAGTCCTCAAAGAGGTAAAGTGGCACCCACTGAGCAGGCACAACAGAGAGGGACCCAGAAACCGCTCCCCGCAGGAGCTTCCCCGCTAGCACAGCAGCAGTCCAGTGATACCGATGGCCAGCAGCTCGTAGATCCTGCGAGGCGGCAACTACCGCCGAAACCGACCAGCTTGACCCTTTTCAATGGCCCCCAAGCTCCCAGTGTGAGCGATAGGCCCTTGGTGCCCCGCAAGTCGGACTTTAAGTCCGATTTAGATGCGAAAATTCGCAGGCAAAAGCAGAAGGTTCAACAGCAATTGCAGCAGCAGCAACAGCAACAGCAGCAGGCGGCACAACAACAAAAGCCACACTCACCACAGTCGCCCCAAACCAGAAACTGTAATGTCACTAATAAACCAGCCAAAGCCAATGTTACAGCATCCGCATCTGCACCTGCATCACCGGCATCCGCATCTGCATCTGCATCTGCAACAGTATCAGTATCAGATCCGTATCCAAACCTGACTCATAGAATGCCAAATCAAATAATAGCAGAAGCCAGTCCGGCATTGTTATCACCATCATCACCTCGCGGCCACCTGCCATTATCATCATCCTCGTCGTCGTCATCGCAATCATTTCCATTGCCAGCAGCCACACAATCATCACCATCATCAAACGCTCTGCCATCGATGTTGCCCGCCAGTGACCGACCACCACCGCCACCCGCCCATCCATACACGTGCTCCAATGCCCCAGCCAATCCAATCCATCTCGCCAATAGCAATACCAATGCCAATGCCAATGCCCATCTCAAGCCGTGCATTACGCCCCGGCCGGCCTCGTTGTCGGGTTCGTTTCCTTGATTTTTGTTTTGATTTTTGATTATTTTTCGTCCTTCCTTGGTTGTGATTTCTACTTCCCTTCGGCTTGTATCATTTTAAGACTTGATTTTGGCTTTGGTTTCTATTTGTTCTAAGCTCTTTTCGCCACTTTCTTACTTTGCTTTACGTTTTGTCACCTAAGTAACCCTTCTGCGATTGGAGTTGGTACTAAGCTCATACCAGACACTGTATAAATGAACAAGATGCGTAACGCGAATTGCGAAAGATATTATTACCCTGCAGTACAATATGTCATGCCACTGTCATCAACGTCTATTCGAGAATCGTGTCAAAACCAACCAACCAATAGGTGATGAATCGTTGATGAAATAGTGATTAATTGTTGATGACACTTTAAAACATGCCCATGTTAATTTCATCAGTATTTTATATGATTCATCAACAAAACCGACCTGTATGTTGATGAATTACTGATGACTGGTACAGCCGAAGAGTTACGCATCTTATAAATTTATATTTTGTCTTTTCTCACACGATCATATGCACCAAATCATCATCCAAACAGACAAATCTATAAGGATAAACTGCACGATATACTACCACTAACTGCCAAATGCTAATGCACTAAATAGAAACGAAAATGTTGAATAACACTGTTGAATTTGCATATATTTTGGGAAATCATTTGCTGCAAATAGGTATTATTGTCCAAATTGTGAAAGGAAGCACTACTTGCCAAGCCTTTTCACCACTCATCAGTTTCAGAACAGATTAGGTCGATCTCGACAGCTCCTCCTAACTCTTCTTCGCCTCTTGACTAACTGAACTCAACTCAACTACTGGTATTATATGGTGTCCTGTGTTTTTTTGTGTGTGCCAAGTTTATAAATCGATTAATTGTACATAACTGTAACATAACAGCGAAAGTATAGTGAATGACAGCCAGCTGATTTGACCCTTTGACCATCCACAGGAGGAGCAGCCGGCGGTGGAGGTACGCGAATCGCAAGGCGTTCGTCCATCAATCAGGCCAAGCCACCGCCGCCAGTCAGACGCAGCTCATCGGTGACACCCAGTCCCGCCTCGGTCGGGGTAAGTTTGTCCTCCTACTACTTACTACACTAAATACCTAAGCTAGTTATTAAGCTAGTCGTTAAGGCGTCTCCGTACTCTACATGGGCCACAAACACAGTCTTTGGTTTCCTCTAAGCTTTTATTCTTTAACTTATGATTTCACTTAATGCAATGCAGCAGCAGCACCAATACCAACCGCAGCAGCAGCAGCACCATAGCTACCAACTAAGCAGCTCCAGCGAGCACTTGCCACCACCGCCGGCGTTTATGCTGGACGCCCACTCCATGCCCAACTCGCCACCGCCAACGGCGATGCCTAGCTCAGCGCTTAAGGTGTCCGAGACGGTGAGAGCGTTGGCTGCCATGCGCCACCAACCAGCCTCGCCAGTGTCACTTAGACGCATGCAACAGCAGCAGCAACAACAGCACCTACAGCAGCAGCAATATCTGCAGCAGCAGCAGCAGCAACCTCTATTGCAGGTGTGTGTCTAGGCCTGGACCCACCGCCTCTGCCGTCACTCTTAGAACTTCTTTTCTATAATTTTATAATTTCTTTTCATTTCAATTTGCATTTGCTTTGCCTTTGCCGCACACAAACCACACACACACTGTATACACACACACAACCTTTAAATGCGCACCACAAAGTCTGTGCACAACTCCCCCCTGACCGATGACTTGAGCTATGACGCCTACTATGACTCCTACTTGGATCTGCACGCCTATGCTCAGCAGCAGCAGCAGCAGCAGGCACAGCTTTACCACAGCCAACTGCAGCAGCATCACCAACCACTGCAACAGCCGCCTCTCTACCAAGCTCCGCCGCCAGCCGATGCCGTAAGTGACCAGCCAGCAGTGAGCCAGCGTGGTTAACTAACCAAGACTAACAGCAGGAAAAGACATTTGCCACTCGCCACTTAACACCACTGTCCCTTGAACCCTCCATCCAGCTTAGTTGTAATGCCATATAGTCTTAGACTAGAGTAGCTTTTTGTGGTGCTTTTGCCAATCTTTTAATTTGAGCCTCCTTTGTTCTCTCCTCTCGTTTCTTCTCATGCCGCACTCCACTGAAACACACATCACCACAACACACCAGACGTTCCGCACTTCGTCACCAGCCGCGGGCGGAGGGGGCGGAGGCATATACGCCCAGCCCAAGCTGGTCAATAGCATGTCCAGCTTCCGCACCAGCAGCCCCAGTCCGAATGGACACGCTCACGCTCACCCACTGCCGCCAACGCAGCCCAAGGCGAACCCGAATCTAATTGCACAGCTCAATGCACGACTCAACAGCAAGCAGCAGCAGCACCAGCCTGGGGTCGAGGGGATCTACGGCAACCAGCAGCAGCAGCCCGGAGGAGGAGGAGAGTCGATCTATATGCGGAGTGGCCTGTCCATGTCGCAGCCGCAACAGCAGCAACACAATGACGGTAAATCAGAGCAAATGCAAATGCAGCAGCAGCAGCAGCAGCAGCATAGAATTTACGCTAGTTTCGGCACCACATCATCTTCATCACCATCATCATCATCGGCCAACAGCACCACTCAGCCATCCTCCATTCTAACACCGGCCCCCTCTTCTTTCAATGCATTGCCTCACTTTCCCCTGTCTTCATCCACATCTTCGTTGCTCTCCAAAGTCAGCTCATTCTCGAACTCTTCTCCATCTGCATCCTCGTCACCGATGATGGCAGCGGCCAACTCGCATTATCAGCCGCCTCAGCCGCCGACAGCATCCTCCTCGGGAGGTGGAGCAGTCGCAAACAACAAAGATTTTGGCATCTACTCAAGTTCATTTAACAAAAATTCAGCAGCTGCGCCCTCGCCGAACATGCGACAGGCCCATCCACATCCACAACAGCATCATCAGCAGCAGCAGCACTATACTTGCCCGCCTCCATTGGAGGATCCTCCGCCGCCGCCCATCTACTCAGCCGGCTCGTCGGCCACAATGCCGAAAAAAATGGCCCGTCCCCATGTTGGTCCGCCTCACAGCGCATATGCAGCAGCCTCGGCAACGGCCACGCTGCCCAAGAACATGCTGCAGCAACAGCAGCAGCGGCTACACCATCAGCAATATCAACAGCCGACAGGCATGGGCAATGGCACAGGTCACGTCAGCAGTCAGCGTCCGCAGTTGCCGCTACCCCAGCAAAAGCTGCGGGCAGCACAGCAGCAACATTTGGCAGAACAGCAGCAACATCAGCATCAGTTGCAGCAGCAACATCAGCAGCAGTTGCAGCAGCAACATCAAAGACAGCCACCCATACCGTCACGCCACTCGAGTGTGCAGCAAAAGATATTCGTCTCGACGAATCCATTCATACAGACGACGGCCGTCAAGTTTCACTCGCCCTCGGCCTCGCCCACTTGCGGGTCTCCAGTGACTGGATCTGGATCTGGGTCTGGGTCCTTGGCCAGCATTTATGCCACAACCGCGCGTGGCAGCCATGCCCAGCAGCAGCACTATTATCGCGATGTCGCTGGTGGGGGCAACAGCAACGGCGGCGCTGCCTACTACAACCACAATGCCCATCATGCCCATGCCCATGTCCCGACACATCATCCAAGTAAGAGCGCGAGCTGGACTTGATTGGTTTCGTTATGTTTCGGTTTGATTTGATTTCCTTTGGTTTCGTACTATTTGATTTGATTGCAAGGAATGAGCGCGCTGTTCTGTATAAATTTTTATGTTTGCCGATTTTCGAATTCTTCTCGATTGGAACCTGTTTCCATTATTTTGTTTTGCAAAATTCCTGTTGGCTTGCATGCTGCTTATGTTGTTTTAGTTTTGGTACAATTAACCCAACTGCGAGTGTGTCGTTCAGAGCGAAGTCCATTTTTTCATTTCAACTTTTCCCTATCATCCATCATCACTGAGCGCCAACGAAGCACTTTGGGCAGCAGAACTTTGATCGAATAACTTTGTGATTTTTATATTTTGCATTTTCCATTTAACCATCTTTCTAAGTAGCACCAAAGACCTTTTCATAACAAGATGCATAACGGCCATACAAATTAATTTAAGGGGGAATATATACGTCGAAATTTGGGACTAGTAGCTTTTGCCCTCGCATCGACGCTTATGATTCCCAACTGATTCTAGTGCAGATAGAAAAAAGAAAGGTAATTTCATGCTGATGACAATAGTTTTGGATTCACTCAGATTTGTTGCATGGTTAACACTTTGTATACCTTGCGTACATACCTGATTTGAGGCACTTGAAGGTTAAAATCGGTAATGAAACTTACACAGTATATTCTTTAAAGAATGAACTATTTTCTAATACAAACAATTTGGTCAAAAACTTTTGCTTTACACTTACATATATCCCCCCTTAATGCCTCTCTAGCTAGCACAAAGTCGAGAGCGTTAAAATCTATAAAAACAGAATGCTCTTTTATGTGTAAGCAATCGTATGGCGTTACTCATCTTGTTTTTGTCAAGTCTTTTACCCTACATTATGGGGACACTCATTGATCGATCACATTTGCTTTCGACTTTCTTTTATGATGCACCCAACGCATATCCACAGACTATGCCACAAGCACAAATATCGAAAAGACTGGCAGCATTCGGGCCAAGACCAAGGCCGAATTCCTCGAGAATCTCAACGCGAAACTGGCCAAGCAGGGAATGTCTGGACGAGCATTTGCCGTGCGAAATCTCATCAACAGCAAGGCCCTGGTAAGTAGCACCCAACTGACTCGACTCGATTAGCCAACCTCTTCTCAATGCTCCGTCATGGCTGTTAGATGTATCAGAATCCGCAAAATCTATCGCGACCCAGTGCACAATACCGTAGACCACCCACCTATCCCAGCACCACAGCCACAACCACAGCCACCAATGCCACTTGCTGCGATGAGCAGTGCTAGGTGCGAAGGTATTTAGAGTATGTTCCTAGTCTTTTGTCTCGTTCGTTCTTGAAGCCTACTAAGCCAGAGCTGGCAGCTAATACACTCAGTGCCTCGTTTTACCAATTAACCCTGCTGATGATATCTAACGAAGGACTTGTGCTTTGAAAGCCCCCCTCTAATCCCACATTCGATTGATTGTTTCAGCCGGACCCTCGCATTTGTCATGAGTCGCTGATGGATCAAATCAAGCGCGGAGCCACCTTGAAGCGTAACCAGAAGATCAACGATCGCAGCGCTCCAAAAATACATTAGAAACTAACCCCTAGCATATTTATTATCATCATAATTAACCCATGGAAGGCAGAGTTTGGTTTGAAACTGAAAACTCGTATACACAACATACATACAACCTAAATACATATGATTACGGCATATACAATATACGACATTTATCAAGCGAATTAAGCTTAACTCGAACTAATCAATAATATACCTTTCTTAATATCCTGTATCCCAAAAATTAATGCGAAAGGCTTTCTTTGTTAAGTTAAGAATCCAAAAGATGAAGACAGTTGGCTAGCCCCTTTACGTTTATTTATACAACTCGAAGCTCGAAACTCGAATTTATCTTTAGTGAACACGTCTGTTTAAAGATATATATATTATGTTTATGTATTTACCATATTTATAATTTCCCTTGTTTATGTACATACATATGGATATGATTTAAACAACCAATCGAAACTAATCTGACGCCTAATAAATGGAGTTTACCTTACAACTTTTCAGTGCTTTCATTTGATTATCCATCCTTGGTTTTTTCTGATCATCAACTGTAAGTCAATTGGCAAAGGTCTGAGCAAATATATGCATACACTATCTTTAATGTCAAGGAATGGAGTTGACGGCTCTTGAAATCTCACAGTATATTCTTAATATAAATCGGATCAGCTTTTTAAAAGAAGGACAACCAATTACTGCCAAGCGGAAGGGGGGATTTTAAAGAGATCAGACGGCTTCCCCAGAACTTTTCGCATCCACGTAGAGTGCTATATGAACAGGTTCATATCATAACATTTTTATTGGACTGAATCTTTCAATATCTTTTAATGTCATTTTAAATGCAACACCATATAGACTAGATCCAGTTGCAACCAATATCATTTGCGTTCATATCAGATCACCGGAGATTTTATATCCAACTTTGTGGCAGTTTCCTCTCAACTCTTAACTGACGTTAACATACAAGTACTCGTATCCCTAAGATCACCACTTTTAATATCCGCATAGGACCTAGGCAATAGTATTTCTAAATATTTACAAAATATTTTGTACATACGCTTTTTAAGGCTTCACCAATGATCGATCGATGAATATTGGCAACACTCGTAACCAAAAATATGGCAATAACTAAGCTATGAAATTCTATTAGCGTTTAGAATAGACTCCAGAGAATATACAAATTTGAGTCTAAACAAATACATATATTTTTTTGGGCGATCAAATCTACATATATACACCGTACACATAACAGAGCGTAATCACAAAAGTTAATTACCGTAGCCGTACGTAACAATTATTTACACGTCTAAATGTTAATCTTAAAATGTTTCAGTACATTCATTACAAAACAAACAAAAACCTATACCGAAGTAATCTAAAACCAGTCAAAGTTGTAATGCGTATTTTTGAATTCATTTGCATTTAGACATGAGAAACAATACAAAATAAATGTAAACGCATTGAATGTAAAACAAACGTCTTTTATTCTTTACTTTTTTTTTTATAAATTAAGAAGCTATCGAATGTTAAGGAGATGCAAAATGTATTATTTATGTGGGATTATATTTTTTTTTTTATTTTTATTTTAAAGGATCAATCCTCATCTTAAGAATATTATGTCAAAGTTTTACATTGATCATAGGAGATTTTTTGGTGTTTAATGTGTGAGTATTAAAAAGTTTAAAATTTTAACACAAAATTGTTTAATACACAATTTTTTGGGATAACCGTTAAAACAACAAATCAAGTATGTTGGTTAACTTAAAACCGATGTATGTACTTTCATCAAGCATATAAATTTGATTTTAGGCTGAAATAAATAACATTTAAGTCCGGTTTCGGGCTTTCCCTGAAAATAAGTTAATTTTGTTTGAATTAAAAACTTTCCTTGCTAAGAAGGCTTCAAATGTTAAAGTATTCTATATACAAAATTGCAATTGCCTTTATTCCATCTTCTTTGATTTGCTGAAAAACAAGTCCAAAGTATTTTGGTAGTACAGCTCCGCCAGCTTCTCTTTCGGCTCCTCTTTTATGCCGGCTATGGCCTCGAGGACTTGGCTAAAACGGAAAATATTTGCTATTTATCTATTTATTCTACAATTTGTTGTGTTGTTGTATTTAGCTCACCTGATTTGGCAGGGTTCGCAGCGTCCGTCTATCAATGTTTCTGCCGTCCACTTTTCCTTTTTCTTGACGGTCGGAAACCGGGTGGAGACGTGCTTGTGTCCGGCATGGGAGGGACGTATGCCACACCAAGGACAGTCCGTTTCCAGCATAATGCGGTCGTTGGGCAGCTGCCGCACCACTTCGGCGTTATCCGTCGTCTTCAGAGAGCAGCCGTTGAGGCCAATGTAAAGGCCGCCGAAGGCAAGTATGCTCTGGGCCTCCTCGAGCGTTCCCGTGAAACTGTGCACCACTCCGCCGCCGCACTGCTTCATCTTGTCCCGATTCCTCTCCAAAATGGCCATGAAGTCAGCCCCAGCGTTTCGCATGTGCAGGAAGAGGGGCAGCCCGAACTCGGCCGCCAGGTCCAGCTGCTTTTCGAAGTAAAGTCGCTGTGTCTCCGCGTCGCAGAAATGCAGCCGGTCGTAGTCCAGGCCGCACTCTCCGATGGCCAGCACTTTGCCAGGGTTCGCCTCGATCTTGGAGCGCAGCTGGTTGTAGTAGCCCTCGGGATCTGGTAGGAATTCGCCGCAGCGCGTGGGATGTGCGCCCACCGTGGTGAAGAGCCGCTCTGAGGACGAAGGCGGCAGGTGAGGTAATGGTCAACGAGGTAAATGACTTGCCTACCGTCTTTGCCGGCCAGTTCCAGGGCCTCGTCCACGTCCTTGAGGCAGCCGGCGGTGATGATGATCTTCTGCAGGCCCTGCTGCCAGGCACGTGTCAGAACCACGTCCAGGTCGGCTGTGTGCTTCTGGGAGTCCCCGTAGCGGCCCTGGAACATGGGATCCGTGAGGTTGGCCCCAATGTCTGCGGATCATATTGTTTGTTGTGAAAATTCCTCTAATTTCAGTTGTTTTCTTGCTCAAACCAATGTATTTTAAAGCCATTCCAAATCGCCGCATCAGTGTTGCCAGGTGAAAATTTGGCTTTCAATAAAAAATCCCAGGAATGGCGCGTACATTTCCGCTTTTGCTGCTTCTGGGCACACTAATACGGAAAGTCTCGAGCATTAAGTGCTGCCCATATTTTCGTTCATGAGCGAACAGTGCTGCCAAGTTTTGCCTGATTTGCCTTGGATCCGCCAGATGTCGCTGTATAACTGATATATGCTTCGCCAGAGGGCGTACATGACTGTTTTCCGTTAAAACTTCAAAATTTGAATTTAAAAATCAGCTCCTTTTAAGTCCTTAAAACGCAACGTGCCAACCTCTATGCGGTTTTCTGCACACTGTCCCCGAAAAACGCTTCGCTAAGCCCATTTAAGGCAAAATCAATGCCACACTGTATATTGCATTCGGAATCTCGCATAATGCAAGCTAATTAGGCCGCGCCAGCAAAGCTGTTTATTGTTTGCAGCGACCGCTAAATCGGCTTCCTCCGCCCCTCCATGCAAATTTCAAATCGTCGCTATCTCACGGCAGCTTTAAGCCGACAATCGGGGTCCACGCAACTGCAGCATTTATAGGCAAATGCCATTTATACATATTTCGAATGAAATTCCATTAGTTACTGTTAATGGATGCTGCGGTCGGTTTACTGGGTGCCGGCACTAGTTTTAATTGATTTAGTGGAAACTGCTGGCTCCTGGCTGCTGGCTGCCGCATCCGATGCTGCCCCCATGGAAACGGAATAGGAAATGGGAAATGGAAAGTGGGAATTAGAATGAAATTCATTATGCAACGGAATCAAACATTATACACTGATGCCTGGGACGCATTGTGGTTTATTTTAACTGGCTAATACAATTGTCAATAATTCAATTTGAATTGGAATTCAATTAGTTTACAAGTACATGACACACATACGCACACCTAGAGAGAGTTTATTTGGGTTTCTTTAGTTTTGGTTGTAGTTTTCGGTAGCCGATTTCCACTTTCCTTTGTTATATTCGGTAGAACAATCGAATTGCGTAAATTACGTACACAAATATGTATTTCAAAATTGGGTAAATTGGATTAGTCAGCTGATATATACTCCGCCGCGCCGCGCCGCGCGCTGTCCTAGTCCTTGTGTTCCCATCGGTTGCTGATATATATGTATGTATATGTATGGCGGTTAGTTGATTAGAGATCGAATACTTGTGGGGGGGGCTTCAGATTTGTTGTCGATTAACTACACCTAGTAACAATGTATAAACGGATTACTTATAACAAACACCCAAAACTCTTTAAGTACGATCTAGGGACTAAGTACATTAATGCATAATTTGTGTATATTATATATAACATATTCTGCCTGGACGAAAGCAACAGGGCTGCCTCTCTCCCCCGGCTACTCTGTGGCAGGCAATTTCCGTCTACTTTGTGTGTGTTTTGCATTCATTTTTTAGTTTGTTTCGTACGCCTAGGTGTACATACATATGCTATATTATTTAATCACAATTCACTTTGCATATGCCGTATTTCATTCATTTACAAATCCATTAGATATCTGCCGCCGCACTCGCCTAAAAGTAGTCTTTTTCGAATAAATCTTACTTGCTAAGCACACTCAGAGTAAACAAACACAAAGGAATTCTTATCACACACTGGCAAGGACTCGCACACGCTCGCCGTTGCACCTCGTGTCGGGGCGGAGGAGAGAAGGTAACTCGCATGCAAAAGTTGCGTATTAAAACCAGATTTATCGATTATATTCTATCATACAGAAATCTCTACACTTTGATTTGGCAATTTAGCATAAGAAGTTCACCCTGTATTATCCTTGATAAGCATTTCGAGATTCGCTCCCGCGCCCGAACTCGTCAAATTTATTTTACAATTACGCTTTTTGCATAGTAAATTGTTTTGTGCTCTCTGCTCTCCGCCAAAGTTTCTGTTATTTCACGTGGCTGCGCGGACAAAGGAGGTCGAGGGAGGACTACGCGAAATTGCGTTACATCCCTGACTCTTTCTGGAGTGGAGCCAGTTTGGCTCAAAGCAAATACAAACGTGTTTTACCCATCCATCAGGAGTAGCTATATATATATGGAAACGCTTTAATAATAACTACAGTGCTAACGGTGCAGATATATGTACATACATATATGTATGTATGTACCTATATAAATTGGCATTTCAGAGTTTACCTTAAAGCTACGCCAACCTATCATAATATTATGATAATCAATCAATGCAAAATGAATTAAACTTAGTCCGCCCTCAGATAACCCCTCAACAAACAACAACAACTGAGCCATTAATTTCTCATCAAAAAGGAACTCTATTAACTGTATGAATCTCGTCCCCTCGGTCTCTCATTTATATTCAAATTCCGTATCCGTACACAAAGCCTAGACTAAAATGTATGAAAATTGTGGACAATAATCGAAATGCTTAGTCGTACAAAGAGTAATTTTCAATTTAAATAAAACTGGTCCCCTTAAACCGCAATGACCTAGCCTGAAATCGATTTCCGTATATCCTTGGCAAGTCGGCTCAGTGTCGAATTAATCTCTTAACCTGCCTGCCCCGATGACACTAGATATAATTTAAGCCGAATTATTTGTGAGTCCTCTCAGCGGCATAGTATAATCTGGGATTTGATTTTGCAAACGAAACGAAACGAACCACGAGAATCATTTACAATTTTGGACATATGTTTCCCGAATTATAATTATCTTGTGTGGCTTTTGAACTTAAGGGCAGTGTCATCACGGCATTAACACGGAGCTCCAGTTACTGGAAATGCCTGCGAGTGGCTTAGTTTCGATATGGACACAGAGTGAATTATTAAAGTTATTATCGGGTGGCACATTCATCATCAAGAACTACGCTAAACTGGGCTCGTTTGCCCTTGAGCCAACCGGTTTCTGTGTGAGTTTTATATTATCAGAATAATCAGTTGCAGCAAACATAAATAAGGGCCCCGCCGCCACTTGTTTATGCACACTAATTTGCTGCCGTCTCTATTATTAATACATTTTGTGGCGAAATATAATAACACAATTAGGCGCTGCCGGCCAAAATAATGCTAGTGCTTTTACTGCACGTTGCAGTCGTCGGATGCGTTGTTAATTTGCTGTTTGGTCTTGCGGGAGGCGCGGCGGATGAGCGATCTGCAATGGAAGTTGAATGGTGGTGAGCGGAAGAGAAACAGGAACAGGAGCCGGATGTTGCCATGGATTCCAGCCGACTGAGTCGGCTTGGCGGATGTGCGTGTTGTAAGCGTGCGTACACAGGAAAAAATGAGCAACAACTATGTGTATTTCAAGAAATCGCCAGGTTCACAAATGTTTTTACATTATGAACAAATTTAATTCTTTAATTGAATAAATTTATAAATATTTCAAACTTATCAAAAACTTAATATAAGAAGCGAGAAAGGCTGGTGATACTGATCATTAATCTGTACTCCATAGGTTCTGTAGTAGATATTTTATATTATAGTTGTAATTGTTGTAAGGATATCTATTTAATAAAAAAACTCTGGATCGTGACAAAAATTTAATATTATTTAAAAATATAAACCTATGACGATGTCCTGAAACTTGTAGTGTTTTCTTTTTTCCATATGTTGGTGTGGTCAGACGCGTGTTGCACTCACCTGGAACGCGGCTTCAGCTTGGCCTCCGCACTGGTGCTGGCCACATCGACGGCGTCCACCAGGCCGGAACACTTCTTGTCACCACTGCCGCCGGCGCCGCTGAGAGCCGGGCTGTTCATTCGATTTTTATCTGCAACAAATAGATAATAACGGATGGCTAATTAGTATCCACGAGTGCATTTAACGGCCGCCGAGCACCGGCACAAAGGGAATGCGCGATTTCAGGAAACTGTGCGAGCAGCTAGCTGCCAATGCTGGGAAAATCCAATTTTCCAGCCGGGAGTGGAGGCGTCCTTGTCCGTTGCCGCAGCAACTGGCACATCCGGACTTTCAGTGCAAGTGTAACCGACGTGCGCTGGCGTAATTAACTTATGAGCGTCACACACACAAAGAGCCGGGGAGGGAGTTGCAGCACACTCGCAAAGTTACCGCTCGAAATGGGTTTTTTTACAGCCGGCTGCACAGTCAAAGTTCATCTCAAGATAAGAGGTCTCAACAGCAGACACCCAATCTGCCCCTTCCCCCGTTCAGCTTGAGTATCTGCCACGCGTCTGCCGCCAATGGGGCAGATGGGGCTCCTCAAAGGAATAGCCTCTGATGGGTGAGATGGCTAAGGTACTCGTTTATGTTGGAACTTTATTACTCGGAAAAATTGCTATCCCAGTGTAGATTTAATTAAAATGCAAAGTCTGGACCAAATATTTCCAGTCAAACACTAAAATATGCAGATAAATATCACATCAAATTTCTTGATGATAAATCTTTGATAATCTTTGTAATATTTGCCATAGATTTCCAATCAATCTCTTTTGAAAGGAGGCCCAAACTTACAATGCAGCTCCAACCAATTAAGTAAGTCATGTCAATGAAGTCGTTAACTTACCGGCAATCCTCAATCAGCCAGCTTAGCCTGCCAACGAGAGTGTTAAAAGCACACAAAAGGTGTTGGCAGCAAGATGTTTGCCAGTTCCCCTTGGTAAACAAACAGGCCTTTTTGTTCCTCCGGAGCGGGCCATAAAGCCGCAAACAAAGACCGGGCTTACAATGGGTGGGAAAACAATTGCTGGCCGGACTGTAGCGGCATTAGGAGCCACAAAGACAAAGGGAAAGCCAAAGTCAATTCAGTTATTAAAGTTTACAGCTTAGCGGGAAAATGTGTCTTTGTCGCTGCGGCCAAATGATCCGAGCAAACAGAATTATTGAGCAGGCCAGCCTGCCGACGGAGTGTGTTGCACACTTCTGGGTGTCGGCGGTGTCAAGTGCAAACAAAATGGCCGCCAAGCGCCATTGTTGTCAAAAAAAGGCGCCCAGCAGCGGGGGAACTGGCACTGCGGCTGCCGCTGACAGAGAGCGCGCGAAAATGCCGCCCGACACACCGACCTAACTCCGGCATCCCCGCAGCTCAGTGGCCCAGTGGATGAAAGCCGTAACGAGGGCAACTGCCAAGCGAGCACGGGAATACTGCCGGAGCAGCACAAAAAACAAACAAGACAGGATGTGCCGGCGGCTGGGGTCGGACTCGGTATAAATTGTGCATATGCGGCGGGAATTGATGCGTGCGTGCGTCGTGTAACAGAAATTTAAATTAAATTTGTTTTACTCTCCCGGCTCTGTGTGTCGGGTTTCATCAGGAAGACACACGGCTGATTCAAATGAAGAAAAACCCAACATATTCGGGTGTCTCGATGGGTGTCATTACCGCACAGTAAATGGTTTACATGTCCTGAAGTTGAAATGTTCACGTAAAAGGACAGCACTTTTTGCAACTTGTTGTGGAATATATGTATAAGGGCAGTAAACGGGGTTATCTGTACTGTGAAAATGTCCTGCTTTTTTTGTTTTAAATGTGCCAAAAACAACTATAATAATGTGTCCCTCAAATTAAAGTTCTTTTATTTAACAGAAACGAGTTTTTCCACACTTAAAATAATCGTTATTTTTAAAACTCTACCATAATTCCACCGTTGATTATTTTACAGCCAGAGTGGATCACACGCAGGTACGTGGCACACAATATATTTCGCATTTAATGTGTATTACGAGGCTTCCGCAATTGAGTTAGGGCCTGGGTTGCCGGGCTGCAAATAAAACGGCTTGCGGTGCCAACCCCCAAAAACCCCCCACAGCCCGGAAAACACACGGGAGCCGCAGTCGCAGGAGGACCCGGCAAAAGCCGCTTTCCTGGCCACAGCACATGTATGTGGCCTGCAGCTTTGGCTTTGTCTCAACTTACGCGCTCGTCCGTTCCCGTGCCGCCCCATCACCCGTCACACAAATAAACTTCAGAGCCGTAAGCATACATATGTAGCAGACACAGAGAAAAAATAGGGTGTGTTTGTTGGAAATGTATTAAATGAAAATAGCTGAGGTATGACTAGTCCATCTGGTAACAAATCACAGGAGTTTTTAAGACTCCTTAACAAGTATACAAAATTATGCGACAACATTTTACAACTTAAAAATAAAATATTACACTGGGTTTGCAAATATTTCATGCATACCTTAATAGGTGTTAAAACCCCTATAAATTGAAGGGAATTTTGACTGAAGGTATATTTATATTTATTTATAAAACGTTTAATGCTTTGGCTCAAAGCCACAAGAAGGAATAACCCATTATAATTTATTGATAAAATAATGAATTATTAATTATTAATTTATTCATTCTTATCAAACATTTTAGTCCACCGCAAAATAAGTCAATGGATAATTCCTAAGATAATAAAATAAATAAAAAAAGAAAAGGGGCTAGCTACGGAATGCCAAATCGATAATGTGAACTTAAAAATGAATACAAAATTATTCAAATTATGAATATTCCTTGATCTTTTCGTATGCTTGTTTTCTATCTTATTCATTTTGTCATTTTACCTAAATAATTCTTAAATTCAAAGGTTTATTGTATCCGTCAGACTCCATCAATGCTCTCTGTGATTACCCAAAGGATGAGCTCCTCCTTGGAGGTCCCTCTCAACATAGTGAAGAATAAGCTGTGAAAAATAAAAATAACTTCTGAAATAAGCGGTTTTCCAACCTCTTTTATTCCCACTTCTTTACAACATTTTCTCTTTCATAATGCCGTCTTTTTTCACAGTGCTTGTCGTGTGGCAGACACGACCAGAAACAATCTCGGCAACAAAATGGCAGCATTGTAAATGAAATTTCTGCGATTTGTTTTTGCATACGCCGCGGTGTACATTTTAAGGCAATTACTTGACTGAAGCAGCCCCAGTGCCATTCCCCCCTCAGCCGGCAGTGATTAAGTGCTTAGACCTATTTTTGGTGGCACACTCAAGGCGCTGTTGTCACCGCTGTCACCTTTGCGGCGACTCGTCCGTTGAACCGCCAATGAATGTGTGGGCCGTAGTACTATATAGTAGTCTGCCACTCGACGACGACCTTCGCCATTCAGACAAACGTCGACGACTATCGTCGCTTGTCTCTTGTCCGCCTGTCATCGACAGGAGGACGGGATCTCGACCCCCGACCCCCGATCCCGGGACAAGTACATATCTGACGACATTTTCGGCCAGCATTTAATATGTTTTTTCCAAACTCCGATGCCCTCGGCCATTCGGATTCAAGTCGCTGAATATTATGTACTTGCATACAGCCGTAACTTCCAGTTTGGCGCTTTCGCTGGCGGGCAACTTTGCACTTAGTTTGAATGACTTTTGCGGCGGCCAACGGGGGCACTAAAAATGTATCAAAAGACTTTCAGGCAAACAATTAAATTATTGGCAACAGCAGCTGGGTGGGCTAGAGGGGTTCTCTGTTATGACTCAACAACTTTTTCTCCAACGGAAATTAAATTAATTATTTGTCTGCCGTGTAATGGAATGAGTTTTGGGCAACATTAATTAACTAGATATTTATACTTTGGGAAGGAGCCTGGCAAAATTTAAAACTTCTTGAGCCGTTCTTGGCTGCTGCTTGTTGGCCGTCCTCCTGGGCTGTTGCCTCGTTCTATTTTCATATGCCGCGAACTAAGTTTTTAATGAGATAATAAGGCATTCCATTACGGGGTAATTAGAAGGTCAAGCTGTTTAATTAATACACGTGCTCGCTCGAGAGCGTTTTGATCAGACGCCAGAAGCGTTTGAACATCGAGGGGAGTTTGGGATGTATCCCCGCCGTCTTTTGCTTTGCTTTTCTGTGTTTCTTTTATTAGGCTCTGTTTTGTCGTCTGATGAATAATGAAAAAGAGTTTGTCTTTGTCAATTGGGTTGGAAGAAAGGTTCTTTCGCCGGTTCGCCTGCCAAATTCCCACAATTAATTAGGCCAAAGACAGCGGACAGCGGTCGGAGGTTGGCTATTGAAGCTGGAATGCTAATTGCATTCAATTAGCCAAATTGCCAAATTCATCCTAGACCTAGGCGCGCCCAAAGAACACCCATTAATTGGCCCCACGTCCGTGCGGCTTTGCCCTTTTGATTTAAAATGAATATATTAATAAATGTGCATCAATTATTGATTAAGCCCAGCCAGATGCGCCCTAGTCAGCGCTTAAGTCCTCGGCTTAATTACACGCGACCTGCAAGCGGCTTAATTATTGTATTTATGGCCAGCGCGGTATATGTTAATTTCGCACTAATTAAGCTGCTTAAAGTGCCGAATGCGACTAAAACCGAACCCGGTCTGATACCTCCGTGCCAAGGCTCTGGCTTTCAATCAGAACCTGCGAATGTTTAATTGATATTTGAAACTGCAGCGGCCATAGGCAACAGGCAATCAACAAGGGGCTCAACCCGAGCTGCTGCCGATTTGGTTTTCATTTCACGTGGCTATGGCAACAAATTGTTATGGATCCTTCATATACGGATCCTCCATAGCGGAAAAAACAGAATCATTTCCAAACATATTTAAATTGTGGAAAGAAAAGGTGCCAATCGAAAATATAAAAGATATTAGCTCGAAGATATGGTTATATAAGTCAAATAATATACGAAAAAATGCTTATACGGCATAGTATTGTAAAGGTACTATAGTTTAGTTCAAATTACTAAACAAAAAATATACTTATTAAACATACTTATATCGTGACATTAAAATATAGATTGATATTTTCCTTTTCTCTTGAAATAATGATACGATTAAACCATATTTTCAGTTATCCCTATGTAGTAAGTGATATTTATTTAAGTCATATTTGACTAACTTATAAAGTCTTTATAAACATCATTCTTTGTATTCGGAACCACATGAATTTTAACAATGAAAACCCGTAACTTAAATGCAATGCAATGTGAAATTATCAAATAATTATGCTAATTGTAGTCAAAACTGTCGAAATCACTTTAAATATATTTATATATACATATATGTATGTCTATAAATAATATAAATTAAGGATTCAATTTATTCCAAAGCATATAAAAATTAATAGTTAGCCTAGTGATCTTTTATTTGAAACTAAAAAAATATGTAAAATACAAATAAAACTATTACTTAATTTCTTATTTAATGAAAGCTAAACTGTAAATAAATGAAAATTAAAAAAAAACAAGAAAGGAAGCTAACTTCGGCACGCCGAAGTTTGTATACCCTTGCAGATTGGTTTTCATATTTATATCATAAATTATAATGCCGAAAACAGACACTAAACAGAGTTTGATAACATTTTACCTATACCTATTATGTTTACAGTTTGACAGTTACAGTTTTACATTCCCAGCTTTATATATTTTATACATTTACCGATCGCTTCTATGGCAGCTATAAGATATAGTTGTCCGATTTTTATGAAATTTATACCAAAATTCTATAATAATAAGTGAAGCTCATATCTCAGAGTAGATGAAAATACGTTGAAAACAACGAAGTTATAATTTTTTCTATTACTTTCCCTATCTTTCCTATGGCAGCTATAAGATATAGTCATCCGACTTTCATGAAATTTATACCAAAATTCTGAAATAATACCAGAAGCTTATGTACCAAAGTAGATTAAAATACGTTGAAAAACAACGAAGTTATAATATTTTTCGATTAATTTCCCGATCGTTCCTATGGCAGCTATAAGATATAGTGGTCCGATTTTCATAAAATTTTTACCAAAATTCTGGAATAATAAAAAAAGGCTATATCCCAAAAATGATGCAATAATATTGAAAAACGGCCAAGTTATAATTTTTTTTCTAAAAATTTTTCGAACATTTGTATGGCAGCTATATGATATAGTCGTCCGATCCGGCCCGTTCCGACATATATAGCAGTGAGAGTATATAGAAGACTATATGCAAAGTTTCATTCAGATAGCTTTAAAACTGAGGGACAGACGGACAGACGGACAGACGGACGGACAGACGGACAGACGGACAGACGGACATGGCTAGATCAACTCGGCTGTTGATGCTGATCAAGAATATATATACTTTATAGGGTCGGAAACGTCTCCTTCACTGCGTTGCAAACTTCTGACTGAAATTATAATACCCTGCAAGGGTATAAAAATAATAACTGCCATGTAGCCTTCAACTAACTAACATTTTCTAAAGCCAGGTAATATACAGTTTTAAAAGCTTTTAATTATATTATGGTAAGTGCCTGAGAACCACAGATTTATGTATACAACAAATTTTATTATGAAAATTTTTTGTTTTGAATCTACAGGAATTTTCTGTGGTTCAATTAATTTTAAAATCTATTTGCACAGTTTAAAAAACTTTTAATTATGTTAAGTGCAGGAGAGCCACAAATTTGTGTATTCAAATAATTTTATTTTAAAAACTACTAGTTTGCAGCACAATTTGCAACCTACAGGAATATTCTGCGGTTTAACTAATTTAAAAAATAATTGTTTAACGGACTCTACTTACTTCGACTGGACGATGCGCTGACGTAGGCCGATGAGCGCCTCTTGAAGCCGCTGGGCGCCGCCTCTCCGCCGGCCCCGCTGCCCCCGCTCCCGCTACTGCTGGCAGGCAGGAAGCGGGACAGGGATAGCAGGGACTTGAACAGGTCGGTCACATTGCTGTCCTCCTTCGCCGAGCACTCCAGTACCTTGGCTCTGCAACGAAAAAAAAACACAAACGTTGACCGAATTCGGTTAAAAAACGTGGCATACTTTTCAGGGGTGGCTGCATAATAGCGTATACGTAAGGCAAACATAATACCATACGTCAGCGAATTTCGATGGCAGAAAACAAAGCGAAAACTTAACCAAAAAAGCCAAAAGTCGAAACAACACCAGCACAACAATGCGCGTCTGGTATTCGCGTGTTCAATGCAAAGCATAGTTTTTGCGAGTGGCCTTCGTCGTTCAACAGCCGGAGGCAAGCACTGCTAATGGCTAAATTAGGCATGTCATGTAGCATTTTGCACAGGTTGCGGTCACAAAGCTGATTCGCGTTGTGCCCCCAATACTGCCACAAGAACTGAGACGAGGAGGATAAGAGAAATTACGTTATTAAACACCCAGGTTGTGCTTAAACTACACAGAAAAAATTCTGGTGGGTTAAATGAACAATTTCTTTTGGTTGAATAACAGTGAAGCTACTGTCAATGTATTTTGTTGTTGGATTTGGTGACTGCACGACAGTTTATATGACAGTCAATTACAGTCACCCTTACGTACGAGATTCTGTGTGTTTTTTGTTGTTGGCTTTGCGAACTGTCGTGACTGTCAGCTGCAGTCAAAATACTGTAGGTTTTACGTAAAAAGTTTTATGTGTTTCTTTATCTTCTTTGGTATCGTGTATGTATTTTTGCATTCCCAAGGTAAGTAACATTAACATTTTATAAGTTTATTAAATATTTTATGAAAATCCATAACTTTTTCTGCCCACTAAAATACTTTCTGGTATAATTCTGGTATATATTTCTAAACTTCTAGTATATTGCAAACGTTTCTTGAAAAAACGATTTCGGGCACACTTAAAAAGCGGCGTCGGTTTCGAGAAGTTGTGCAGCGAAAAGTGAAGTGAAAAAGTTAAAAGTAAAAGTTATGAGTGATATTGACCTTCCTTCTTCTGGAGGAGTGGGATTTCAGAGACTTATTGCCCACATTTCTCGGTAAGTTCCCAAACAATCATTTAAAGATCCGCAATTGGCGAATGTACATATGTATGTATATGTATTTATGCATACATATACATATATGTATGTATGTACATATGCAAGTACACGTACGCCGCTGATCGCAAGAAGTAACGCTTTTAAAAGTAAAGTTAGTGTACAGATTAAAATATATACATATGTACATATATGCATATATGTAAAATCTTATATTTGGCACTGATCTTTGATTGCCTCTCTTTATTTTACAATTTAAATAGCGATCAGCGGACATGTACATGCATGCAAATGTATTTTTTGGCTTCTTGTTGACTTGCGATGGCAACCATCTCAGGCGAGTGCGAGCAAGATAGCTGGCACTGACATCCAAAAACCGTTTGTTTTATATCTTATTATGATATACATATATAATTAAATCTTTTATACTTTTCTATTTTGTTTTCAGGTGAGAGTATACACATGTAACTATAAAACATAACTATGTAAATGGAATCAACAAAATGTAAGTAAAATATTTGGCCGTTTTCTATTAATTTTAATAAACAAATTTACTTAAATCAATTTTTATTTCAGAAAAGCTATAGTCGAGACAAAAGTACCAGTTCGGATGTGAAATATGGACTAATATATATTTGTGAGTATTGATAATCATCGTTTGACTTAATATTTATTTATTAATAAATTTACAATTTTAATATTTAATTTATTTATTCATCATATAGGAAATATATATATATAAGTCCATAATATTATTAATTAAGACCCTCTGTAAATATTTTTAAAGAATAAGTAATTAAAAAAATATTATTAATTAAGACCCTCTGTAAATATTTTTAAAGAATAAGTAATTAAAAAAATACTATTAAAATTTTAAAATAATTTTTGGTTTTATTTTGGTGGTAATATGAACTGCAATTACTGTAGTCGGGGGTAGTCTACAGTAAAATAGTAAAATAGTGTATTTCACAATTTTCGTGGTTTGGCGCTTTTTAACCGCAAAATCGTGGTTCCATTTACTGTAGAGCAGTACATGTTACGTAACGCGTTACGTCGTTATACTGCAGCGTACAGTTCATGGAACCCAAGATTTTGGTTGTTACCTTTTAACCCACGAAATGGTTAGATTTACCCACGATAATTTTTTCTGTGTACTTATTTGGTATCTATCAACATCGTCTGTCAGTTAGTTATATTTCTGAAATTAATTATGAACCCCAAATTGAACTGTATAAAATTAGGAGTTGCTGTGACTTAACTCCTTCCTTTCTATGTGAAAACCATAATAGTTATTAGTTTTTAGAATTACAGGATTCGCAAAAAAACATTTACTATTATTATAGTAGTTTATACATTCTGATTCTATTTCTTAATAAATGCAATCAGTTTTGATTAGAGGAAACGTCAGTTTAAACTGACCAGTCGATGTATCCTCAGGATGCATGATATATATCGACAAAGATAATAATCGATAATTTCGTAAACTTACATATCATTTGCGTATCATTTAAGGCTATATAAAAATGGTTACATTAAAATAATAATAGTAATAGCTTAAATTTAACAGGAAATTTTCCTCATTATGTTTTTAATAAGAAAAAAGAGTTCAATTATCGATATTATCGAAAAAAATATCCGAAATTAGTCCCTTATCCTATGAAATACGATACATTTAATAGATGATTTATCGTAAAACATAGCAAGGTTACAAGGTTGAAATATGATATAAATTTCTTCTCAAATATGAATATAGTATCAATAGACATGTTTGCCTATATGTTGGTTATCAGGCTTATAGATATCTTAGATTAGGAAATTACTGTTTTAACTTGGATCATTAATTTAAAAGCTCCCATTAAATCATTATTGCTGGGCATACAAACTTCAACTTACCAAAGAATACTCTCTTTGTTCTCTTCTCTCACAACTTAAACTTTATTTTATTTAATCAAAGTGGCATTAGGCTCAAGACAAAAATGGATTTTATCGATCCAGAGTCTCTTAAAAGGGATTCGTTTTGAGTCTGCCAACTGAGGGTGACGCAGAATAATTGCATATTTTGCCAAAGCTCCATTTAATTAAAATTGTAACAGCTGACTTGGCAAAATAAATAAATAGATGCCTGAATTGTTAATGCCATAAGCTGCAATAACAGTAAATCAGAGCAAAATTGATATGGGCTGCGAGTTATTTTCATTTTTTTCGCATTAACCCAGGCAGAATACAAGATAAAATGCGCATGAGTTTGCAATTAAACGTTGAATAAATACATTGTTCCAGCTCTGGGGAGTAAGCCACTTACACATGTAGCAAGCGAGCGGCAGGTTCCCACGTATCCACATATCCACATATCCACATATCCACATATCCACATCCACATCCACATTTCCACATATTATGTATACGCAGGGTGTACTCATTCAGGCTGATAAATGCACTTGAGTGGCGTGCTCTTAAAGCGTTTAACCGCAGACAGGCAGACAGACCGGGAGATAGAAGGACTGAAAGGCAGGCAGGCGGTGGAGCAACAAATTGCATTGCATCTCGGCGCCGGGGAAACACTCCTCCTCGGAGCACTACTCCTGCCACGTGCGGAGGTGCGAGATTGTGGCGAAAGGTTCAAGGTGGCTCACTCTGCCGTGGCCAAAACCGCACCATCAATCTGCGTGAATGTTTAATCCAACAGAGATTTGTACGTAATGCTCGCGCCAACTGTCCTGCGTCCTGCGTTCAGTGTCCTTCATCCCTCGTCGTGCGGCCTCTGTCATCTCCATTCTGCGGTTGAGTGCTCCTCCTGTGTGGCGTTGTTCGGTCTGTGTGTCGGTCGCTTTTAAATAAGTTTACGCACGCTTGCTTAAACAGCAACACGAGCGTGCCACGCCTCACTTTTCCCCTATCCACTGCTCGGGTCTTCCCAGGATATGAAATTATGGCAGGACTCCTCGGGCTCCTCTCGTCCACTGGCAAGCACGTATGTGATTGTAAGTGATTTTTACGAGGCCCGCGCCGCAGTTTATTAAGGAAGCAATTACAGCGCTGAAGGTAGGGTACGTAGTGCCAGAAAGGAAGTGCCAGCAGCGAGTCCTTTTTGGAGCGAATCGAAAGGATGCGGCCAGGCATTCAGGGCTAGTTGTCACGCGAGCAATGAATTAAAATTGTTAATGCGGTAAACAAGGAACGTAATCAGGCCAGTGGACTCATTTTCCACTCGTTTGCTTCGAACTGGAATACCTTTTAAATGACAAAGGAGATGTTTCTATATTTGCTAAATTTTGGAAGACTCTCTCGAAAACTCTTTAAACGTTGTGTCTGCTTGAGAGTATTTACTAATCATGCATTTTGTAGCCCCTCAACATTTCCCCTCGGGGCAGCATTCAAGCAGTTTGAGAGCAATCGAGTTGAAGGACCTCATGCATGCTATGTATACATACATACAGAATGCCAGAACTCGGCTGTTTAGTATTCAGAGAGCTCTCGCCGGGAATACTCGAACATATCGCTCAAACGACCAGGTGTTCACATGTGGCAATTGATGTGCTGCACGACAGCGACACCGTTTGCGGCACAAGATGGCCAATTAGGAGCTATTACGGGGAAATGCTCTTTGTGACATGACTGCTGACTAGTGATTGCCGGCGAATTGCAATTTTCCCCCCGGCTGGAGCTCGTTTTTCATGCCGACAAATGGCATTTAATGAGCGCCACAACCCCATCCCTGGACAATGCAACTGATTTCGGGGGCCAAACTGCCACCATCACGCTTTCTGGCGCTTAATTTCATTTGTAGCAATTTAATTGCGACTCTGGTCGTTGCCATTTGCCATTTGCTTTAGCATTTCCAGTCCTGGTTGTCCCGTGCAGTTGGGCGGCCAGAATTTATGAGGCTTTTTTAATTCCACTTTGTTGCGTTACTTATGAAAATTGCAGCTGTTTGGCGGTTTTGCGGCTTTGTGCTCGCCGGCTTTGTTGCACAACTTTTGGCAGTTGTCCCCTAATTGCTGTCGCACGCAGCAGCAGCAGCAGCAGCAGCAGCAGCAGCTGTTGCGCGCTTTACGGCCATGTTTCGCTAAATAAATGTAGGGACTTACCGTAAGCGGGGCAGCTCGCAGAACACCCAATCGGTAACCTCCTCCAGCTTGACCTCTCTGTGGGTGCTGGCCAGGTCGGCCTTGTTCCCGGCGATCACAATGGGAATGTCCTGCGAATGGAAACGAAAGGGGAATTAGCAGTGGCATTCGCAGGAGTACCAACCAAAAGCAGAAACAGAACACAAGCATCCACGGCAAGGCTCTTCAATTGTCCTCCCGAAATCAGGGAGCACACAAAGAAAGCACGCAGCACGGGTCGTTGTGTGCCATTGTGCCATAATTGACACTCGCCGGTACAATGGCGGCGGGAAGCGGAAACCGTGAAAGCGCCAGCGGAAACAATAGCTCTAACTGGAGCACAGTGGGTCGAGTAGAGGCAAAAGAAGGGTTTCGTAACCACTGTTAATAATTGAAGAATACTAGAAGTTTACTAATAATATTTATAGCATTTCTATAGTATGAAATATTTTTTAATATTATAAGATTTTAATTTATTTATTTTTCCAGTGCCCATTTACTTGTTTAGAACCACTGTGCGGCATCGCAACAAGGGCTCTGGAACAAGCCTAAACCTCTGCCGCCTGGCTTGACTCCTCCGGCTCAAAGGGGAGCATTTTTAATTGCTTTTCGGATTGTGGCAAACGGTGCGAGCTCGCGTTCGCCCCTCTGATCTTTCAGCTCGCGCTGATTACATACAAAATGCAGGCATGCAGGTGCGGGTGCTGGTGCTGTTGTTGTTGCTGGCTCACCTGAAAGTCGCCGCGCTGCTCCCGGATCTCCTCGAAGCACTGCTTCACACACTGAAAGCTGGGCGCCGATGTGGCCGCGTACACGAGCATGAACGCGTGCGCCGTGGCAATGGACAGGCGTCGCATGGCAGGGAATTGCATGTCACCGGACGTGTCCAGAATGTCCACCTGCAACGGGAGAAGGTGAGTCTGTCTGTCTGGCTATGGTAATGCTGGAAAATTGCACCTGATTAAATGTGAATGGCCCTATTCTGGCGCTTAAACGCCGCCTATTCGAGACCGCAGTTCGTTGCTGCAACATGTGTCAAGCGGTTGTGGCATTTAATTGGCGCCCAACATGCCGCAGATCATGGAAATTTAATTTTAAATATGAGGTCTTTACCTTTGGCAAATGCCAAAAAAGGTTTACTTGTACCTATCGCTGGAAACTTTACAAATCAAAGGCTCCTAAGAAAAAGGGTTTGAACAGTGAAATTGCAAGGGAAAACTGAAAACGGTGATAGGAATTTATTAAAGACTTTATCTGAAAGGTAAAGAATAATAAAAATGTATGGATATGTTTTTATTTTAACTATTTATACTAATTAAGAATGATATATTAAAAAATACAAAAAACAAAATCGTATGTACGTTTCTCTAAATTATTAACTTAATTTAAATATTTAAATAAATGTATTTAGGTGATTTTTGGAGCGGTTAATTTTCTTGTTACTATTTTTATATTTATATTTATTTTTTAATCAATGCCTGAAAGATAGTAATTGTCAGATACCGGTTCATACAGCCTTGTCTCTTCTAAATTCGCCCTGAACCCAATATGGTCTTCATTACAGGTCCTTTAATTAAGTTTATCTTCTAAATTTTTACGCTAACTAACTTAAAAAATAAACAGTGCAGCCCAAGTTGTCCTACAAAGGTTTAAAATTTGGCTAACCATTAAAGGCGAGGCCGAGGGAAATATAAATCAAAGATTGAACCTGTTAACTTTTATAAATCCCATGTTTATCAATCCTTTGCACTTAACATTTTAAAAAATTGATTGTTAATAATATTCATAGTTAGAAAGTTACATTTGAAGGAAGCTACTCTAATAGAATCTCTTTTGGCGGGCCCAACAGATTTCGATGTCTTAATTTTTTAAAGGTACTGGAGATTTAAAATTCAAGTGCTCCTCCAGCGATTTGTCAATGGTGAGTTCAAGGACGAGACGCCCAGTCTGAGCGATTGAGGGGTGGCGGCTCCTGGCTTGTGGCTCTTGGCTGGTGGCTCGTGGCCACGTTCAATGCTCACTTGATGCCAACTAATCCCCGTGTCAGCATCTGTTATGTCGGCTGTATCGCCGCGTGGCGTGGCGCGATACACATCGAACGCGATCCGCAGTGTCAATGGCATGTTGAGGCCAAAAGCCAGAAGCCAGGAGCCAGAAGCCAAAGAGCCAGAGGAAAAGCCAATCGTTTAGCCGTGTCAGCGTCCCGCGTGACAGCCTTGGCCATTGTGAGGCAAATTTGTAACGCATTGTTCGGTCGCGATGGGTAAACTTTATTAAAAACACTTTATGGAATGACACAATTTATATTTCTGACAGCATTCTGGCCATTGTTCGCTGGCTGGGCTTTGTTAGGGCCCAAACCTTTGCCTCCACGTTAGCGCCATCAAATTCGCCCTGCTGCGCCGCACATTCACGTACATACACCAAATGGCTTTTAAAGAGCAGAAATCGTTTAGTGCAATGTAATGTTCCCGTTTGATGGCCACACGCTGCTCCGACAATCAGTCACAGCGGGCTGCAGTGGCTCCTCGCTTGAGCTTGAGGGGTCATTAGGCGAAACCTCAGCTCCAGATACAGCCAGAGCCAGGAGCCAGGAGCAGGGACCTCGGCAAATTGTCAAGGTAAAATTGATTTGAATGCATCGGGCTGCCCGGAGACTGCATCGAAGGTGGCCGGGCATAAATCACCTTAAGCTCCCGAGTGGAATTCAATCTGGGCCGAGCCCTCCAAGCAAGATAAAGTATTAGAGGCGGAGCCCAGTTGGGCGCCAAAATGAAATTAATTAAAGCGAAACATGTCCTGGTAGGAGCAAGGATTGAGGCCTGGTACCGGCGCCACCACCAAGCGTGTCAGTGTCGCCTCTCGAAGAGAAGCCCCCAGCGCCGGTGATAATGACTATGGCAGCACTGAGCTCCTCCTCCCAGCACACCTATTAATCAATTTTCAGCTCAACTTTTGTACGCCGAGCATGTGGTTTTGGTGTAACACAAGTTTGAACAGCAAATAATCAGCTCGAACACCGAAGAACGGAGAGTGAATGATGTTCCGTCGGAAGTTTCCTCCGGCACGACACGGTCGGCGGATGCGTCGACAAGTGCTGAGTACTCCGATGGATGGATGGAGGACCCGGATTCGCCTGGCGAGAATTCCCTTTACGAGTGCTTATCACACGCCGATTAGGACCCGATTATAATAATGTACGGCAGTTATCAGTTTCCGGGCTATTTCCGTCCGCCAGACAAGTTATTAACCATTAATTGCCCCTCTTTAAGTAACGCATTAGGGGGGGGCAGCACCCAATCTGGCGCTCTCTTTCGCCTTTCGTCTGGGAATGGCCCCACATTTTCCATGTTGTTTCCGCCATTTTGAGCGTGTGCAAATTTGATTAATGGGCCTCCGCCCATCACGACAGCCCCGCTGTCAGTCAGTCTACCAGTCAGTCAGTCGCGTGGGATGTGCTCAGCCCAGAAACTACTCAGCCAGGTTGCTTTAAGTGCATTTAATCGAGTAGAGATTCGTCCGCTCAATTTGCGTTGCCATCTTCAAATTGTGAATCTACAGCCTCGGGCAGAGTTCGGCTAAAACCACCACCGAGCGAAACCTACCGAATATGCTTTGGGGAGCTGCTCAATTGCCAGGAGACCAGGAGCACACGTGTCTTGGCTAATACTTTGCATATGCCGCACTGAGGCTTTGCCGTTGGCAGAGCCAGATACTGGGGCAATTCTCTAGACATCCAATTAGTAGATTTCCTTCTAATTAATGGGCTTAGAAATTCGGAAAGTTGATGACCTCAACAGTGATTGGGTTAATGAAGCTGCCACTAATTGCCGGCAGTTTACATTATCCTGCCCAAGTGCACTTACAAGTTGCAATTATCATTCATCTTGGAGTTTAGTTTAATTGAAGGCAAAGGACAGATGCATGTATTATGTACCAGGTCATAAGGATTCTGAGTATCTCTACAAAAATGAAATGTAATTAAATGAAAACCCATGCATCATTGGCTTCCATCGATAGTTTTCATGAGATATTCTGGGTACAAATTGAATTTCGTTTCCAACTTAACCAAACAGAGTGAAATGCCTCTTAAAATGTCAGCAAGACTGACCCGGAGACGGACCAGGGACTCACCTTTAGCGTGACGCCGCCCAGGTCGTACTCGCGATTGTAGAGGTCCTCGACGGTGGCGCGGTACTTGTCTGTGTAGGACTTGAACAGGAAGCGCTTTACAATGGAGCTCTTGCCGACGCCGGCGCCGCCCAGGAGGACGAGGCGTATGCGCTCCAGGTCCGCCATTTCGTTGGCCGCCTTGTTGCCGTTTCCTGCTTACAAATTGCGTGTCCTTGGGCGGATGGCTGTCGTCCCACGATGGCTCTGATTGGTGCTCCTTGCAGTGTGGAGAGTGTCCCGGCTTTATTTGTTTCTGAAGCTTTAGCGCTGCATTATGCCGGATTTGTGTGCTTAAGCCGGAGCCGTGGCCGGGGAGGGGGGAAGAAGTGAGCAGGTCCAAGCACTTCCTCGATTTCCGCTTTCCACTCTGCAAGCTTAGTGCCTTGGCAACACTTTCACCTTCTTTGGGGCCAGCATCACAGAGGCGAGCTGCATAAAGGGCGACTGTAACAACCAGGCGGACTTCCGGCTTGGCAACTTCCGCTTCCGGTCGCGGAGCAGTGCTCGGCTGTGAATGCAAAGAAGGAGTGAACATTAAAAGGATTATATTGAATTCAAACAGCTTCTTAATTAAATTAAAACTAAACAAGAGGATGAATTATGTGCGCTACCACGTTTTATACATCTTAATGGTTGAGTCTTTTTACATTTTTATTATATATTTAATGCATTAATTAGTTAATGTTAATTAATATATATTACACAAAAAAAAAGGTTAATGATCTAGACTTAAAATGAAATCAGATGAAGAAAAGATGACCCTTGGAACTTGAAGATAGTTTATAAATGTTGTTAATGAAAATGTCATGATTAATTATTTTCTTCTTTAAATCTGCCTAATAAATTCTAAATATAAATTCTCAATGAGTTTAATTTTTAACAAGGAAGGAAGCTAACTTCGGCACGCCGAAGTTTGTAAACCCTTGCAGATTGGTTTTCATATTTATATCATAAATTATAATGCCGAAAACAGACACTAAACAGAGTTTGATAACATTTTACCTATACCTATTATGTTTACAGTTTGACAGTTACAGTTTTACATTCCCAGCTTTACATTTTCTCTACATTTACCGATCGTTTATATGGCAGCTATATGATATAGTTGTCCGATATTCATAAAATTTTTACCAAAATTCTGAAATAATAAAAAAAGCTTATATCTCAGAGTAGATAAACATACGTTGAAAAACAACGAAGTTATAATTTTTTCCTATTCATTTTCCGATCATTCCTATGGCAGCTATAAGATATAGTCGTCCGATTTTCATAAAACTTTTACCAAAATTCTGAAATAATATAAAATGGCTATGTCTCAAAAATGACGCAAAAATATTGAAAAACAGCCAAGTTATAATTTTTTTTCTAAAAATTTATCGAACATTTGTATGGGAGCTATATGATATAGTCGTCCGATCCGGCCCGTTCCGACATATATAGCAGTGAGAGTAGAGAGACTATATGCAAAGTTTCATTCAGATAGCTTTAAAACTGAGGGACTAGTTTGCGTAGAAACGGACAGACGGACGGACGGACAGACGGACAGACGGACAGACGGACGGACAGACGGACATGGCTAGATCGACTCGGCTGTTGATGCTGATCAAGAATATACAGCTGTGTTCACGGAAATAGCAGTGCGACAGAGGGATCAACTTCAAAACCTTTTTTTGTACATATTCCTTTTTGCAAGCTGATCTATTGCACATTGTTTTTGTAAAATGGAACATAAAGATAAGAATCGAGAAAAAATTCCGTTAGATTTGCTCTATTTTTATGTTTTATTGATATTTTTTCACATATGCAACTCGTTTTGGCCGATCACTGAAATAGCAGTATTTAATTTTCTTTCGCAAAAAGTGCCGAAATTTCTTTTAATTTTGTAAAAAATGAGTTTAATTACGGTCGTTATTATAGTTTATTCTATAATACACCTTTACAACGCAAAAAAAATTATTTTAGTGGGCGCAGGACCTCACTGCTCCATGAGAGAAAGGTATCAGAGAACTTAGCGTAGAAAGAAGGGCAAAACATGTAAAGAGTCTCTAAATCTTTCAAATTGTTCTTTTAAAATAGTTTATAAGTCATAAAATATGAACCGAACCCAAAAAAACCGGGGTACGATTCGCAAAACCACAATTGTACTGGCTCGACGCGTACTTCGCTTCAGCAAAGCTCGTCCTTTTGCATCCTCTAGGGATATATGAGCGGGAATTGGCATGGGAATCAGTCATGGGACCATTCGCCGGGGACTTATTGAATAAATTTTAGATTCGCGAAGTCCATGGAAAATGTCACTGCTTGGTTACAGGCATATCAAGGCCAGATTGGAGTTCGCCAATAGCCACTTGAACTGCCACTATTCAAATGGCGTAATATCCTTTGGACAAATGACTCCAAACTGGTTTTATTTGGTGGAATAGGACAAGACAATATGTCCGTCGACCTCCAAATACATAGTACCCCCCAAACCACACGCTGAAGACAGTAAAACACGGTGGCCTAAAAATCATGGTATGGGTATACTTTTCATACAACGTTTTAGGTCCCGTATATATGATCTGTCGGATCAAAGACCATTATGTTTATGTCCAAATATTAAAAACTGTCTTGCAGCCGTATCCTGAGGAAAATATGCCATTAATTTGGACATTTCAACAGTACAGTGACCCTAATCATACCATCAAGGTGGCCAAGGAGTGGGTTCTTAATGAAAAAGTGGATGCAATGCCATGGCCTGCACAGTCCCCGGATATAAATCCGATCGAAAACTTATGGGGGACATCAAGGGCTACGTATTGAAGAAGTTTCCGACTTCTAAGCCGCAGCTTTGGCAATTTGTGCAGGAGGAATGAGGCCATATTCCCCTCAAGCGTTTCTAAAACTTGGTGGACTCCTTGCCACCCAGGTATGAGGCTATGATAGCTTCTAAAGGCTATTTAACAAATTATTAGATCATAGTCAATTAGAATTTAAGAAGAAATAGGTTTCTTATACGATATTTTTAAATTTATGAAGAATTTTAGTTTTTCACTGCTATTTCAATGATCGGCATAATATAGACCTTTTTTGTTGATATTAGCTATATCTTCTAAAAGGTTTATGTTACCTAAATTAAATGATTGTGGTATTGTTAATAATTAAATACACTAAGCCTTTATGAAAAAAAAATTTATGAAAATAGCGTTTGTAACAGTATTTTCCAATCTTAAACGTGCAGGTCCGTGGGCACTGCTATTTCAGTGAACACAGCTGTATATACTTTATAGGGTCGGAAACGTCTCCTTCACTGCGTTGCAAACTTCTGACTGAAATTATAATACCCTGCAAGGGTATAAAAACCGTGTGTCGCATTCCCATTATTTATTTCTAGCTTTAAACAACCATAATACAAGCAGCAGCATAATTTCCAAATTAAATTCCGCAGCAATTGCTACAATTTCAGTCAACGAGAGGGAGGCCTTTCAAATTTACCTCTTGGATGCCATTCGCATTTCAAAATTGAGTTTCAAGTTCTCGCCGGCAGCTTTTCGAACCCATCCATATTTTTGTTTGCTGCCTCTGATTGGCTTTGCCAAACGATGCGCAGCCCGGGCTCAAAGCCGGAGCATCCGAGGTTGCAGTGGCGCTGCATGTAATCATAATCTGCTCACGTGCTCACCCCACAAGTCAGATAAATGTATGGGCACTCAGAGGCCAGGCAAAAAGCACGGCAAACGATACACACAGGATGCAATCCTGATGCAATCCAAATAAGAAATACCGGAACGTAGGCCACATAAAGCAGTGGCCAAACGCAAAGAGCGATGGAGTAATGGGTAATGCAGCCTGCCCCATCTGCATCATTCCTCTGTGCAACTGTGCATCTGAGCGACGTACAGTAATGCACAGCTAAGTGCAGCCAATTCAATTTGCCTGCATTTTTTTTGTTGTAGTTCTTAAAGCCAAGCGAGCGGAGCATAGCCATTTGCACCTGTGCCAAGTTCTGGTGCCCTCTTTCCCCGTAATTGCAACTTAATATAATTAGGTTTCCCAGCAAAATGCAATTTATTGCAATCAACTGCACAGATTGCTGCTGCTGGCTCTCCTCTGTGCTGCACATGAGTGGGCAAATTTCGTTAGATGCCTAACTGAGTAACCGAGTATCTGAGTAACCGAGTATCTGTGCATCTGAGTATCTGCGTGGGTTCCCCTCTGCCTACAGATAATAACGAACAATTTGGAAGGGGACGTCAGGCTGCGTCAGGTGTTAATTACTCAGAGGCTAATGAAAGCACACTGAAAAGTTGAGACCTAACAAACCACTCCTCTGGATGCTGGCCAACTCCTGCTCCCTGACGAGAACTAGGTATTTTTCCTTTTCACTCTAATGCCACAATAGCTATTCAGGATTGTGTTTGGCTGCGTGAAAGGACTTTTAACATATGGGAAAATATCAGAATGGAATTATTATTTATACATGGCGTAAAGGATTCTTTCTCAGTGCTTATTTTTGCTTGGTTACCTGTACTTTACCTGAAAACTTAGAGAATATTTAATGTGTGGGGAGGCTTGTATTTAAAATTCCCCTGCCCGGCTGAGTTAAATTTCGATGTGCAAAATGCACTTCTGGCAGCAGGCATCCATGCAAATTCCTAACTATTTTACATTGGGCTAAAGATTGTTTCTAATGAAAAAGTGAAATTAGTTCTTCGTTTTATTACCAAGTACATATATTATTTTTTATTTAGAAAGAGTTCTAATGCCAAGTTTAGATTAACAACCGGTTTCTCTTCTTCCTGTTCAAGTCGTTAAATGCTATCTAACAGAATAAGGTACCTGTTGTTATCGTAAAAATTCCTTTTCTACGCTTCCTGTAATTTATCTGAATGAGAAAAACCAACAGAGAACAGTTGAGCATATAATTATTGTACAAAGTGCAACCACATACATCTTCTACTTTACATTTTATACTTTTTTGTGATGATTTTTCTCCTTCTAAAGTTTCGACGGGAAAATTAATTGACAGGAAGTTAGGCTACAGTCTAATTAAGATACCTCACTGATAAGGTAAACAAAGAAATTTTATTAGCTACTAGACTGTATCGGTCCAAAAATTTATATTATTCTTATTATTGGAAAGTTTATTTACAAAATAGGAATATAAATAGTACATAATTTCTCCAGAAATAAAAGTAATATAAGCAAAAACTTGTAAATGAATCCACAAAATGACTGCTGGATATTTTACGGTTGGGCAAGATCCTTGTTTGGCTTTTTTTTATTATCCTTGGCCAGAACATCCAAATGCATATTCATTTCTAGCCAGGGCAGGTAGTCCTTCAAAGTGCCGGGCAAAAAACAAGCAGCAGAGGTCATATGGGATGTTGTGTTTTGCTGTGGATAATGCGATGCACAGGAGCAGGTGCCGAGGCTCTAGTTACGCCTAAAGCGTGAATGATAATCCACGTAATTGAGAGGGAAAGGAAAATCTAGGTGGGGTGAATTAAAAAATTTAAATATCAGAAT